AAAATAAATAAATGTTTATGACAATCATTCAATACAAAATTTAATTACACTATAAGTTATAATCAAATGGCAAAGAAAATGAAAAGACTTAATCATATATCATTTAACAAAATAAATAAATAAATAAATGTTTATGACAATCATTCAATACAAAATTTAATTACACTATAAATTATAATCAAATGGCAAAGAAAATGAAAGGACTTAATCATATATCATACAACAAATTTTATAAGGCTTATCGGTGGAAAATTATTTAAAATCATATATATAAAAGTAAGGTTCCACTCTCTTTATTGTTCCATTTTGTATTTATTTTTTAAAATATAATATTTATTTTTAACCAAAAAAACACATTTAATCATATACATTAATTCATACTTTAAATTCACACTTTACTACTAAAATGAAACTGAAAATTATATAAATTTCCAAAGACTATTGGTTTTCTTTATTGAATTCCAATTAAACACACTATAAATTATAATTATAACTCCTCTAATTTAATTATTTTAAAAATGTAACTTACATCACTTCTTATCATATAAATAGCCATTCTCACATCATTCTCTACCAAATCTCATATCTTCATTATTCTCTTTGTTTTTTTTTTAAAAGTTCTTGCATGGGGTGAAAACTCATTTAAAATATCATTGTAAGAGTTTGATTAATTATTTAGTTTAAACTTTTGTTTTCAATTTTATTTATTTTTTGTTTTTATGTATTTCTTTATGTCTTCATTGTTTTTTTTATATTTTTAAATGTAATACATATGTATAATAATATTTTATGGTTATAAGAAAATCAAGCTAAAGAAACCATCTTCATTCTTTTACTTTGGATGTTTGTTTCTTTCTCACATATTCATGTATATTTAATTTATTTTCAAAAGTATGTAATTTTTTAACAAAATAAACTTTTTGTTATATAATTATCAAACCAATTTGTAAGACATTCTTTTAAGAATAATGATCCTTATATTTAGTTTGTGATTCAACATGTAATAATACAAAGAACATTATAATTTGTTTTAACTTTGAATTTTATACTTGATTTCCTATCTAAAAAACAATTTGATATTCCATTTTCTATCTATGTATACACTACAAGGATGAAAAATATAATTAAACCTAGAAATATAACTTAAATTAAGAGGAATATAAAAAAAGAGTAAAAATAAAATTATTTCTTGGGAATTTTTAAGGTTTCACTCTCTCCTTATTGGTCCATTTAGCATTTATTTTTTAATTATAATATTTATTTTTAATTAAACCAAATATCTAACACATTTAGTCATATACTTTAATTCATACTTGAAATCCACACTTTACTATTAAATTGTAACTTAAATTATATAACCCTTCAATTGACTATTTGTTTCCTCCATTTAACTTCAATTAACACACTATAAAATATAATTACAACTCCTCTGACTTAATTATTTTATAATTGTAACTTACATCATATTTATCCTATAAATACTCATTTTTACATCCTCCTCCACCATATATGATATTCTCAATATTTTCTTTGTTTAATTTTTAATGTTCTTGCATGGGTTGAAAGCTCAATTAAGATATCATTGTAAGAGCTTGATTATATATTTGGTTAAAACTTTTGTTTTCAATTATATTTCTTCTACATTTTTTCATTGTTTTTTATACTATTAAATGTATAATACATTTGTATAATAATATTTTATGGCTATAAAGAAATTACTTTATCGATGGGATTCAAAAATATTGATTTCTGACCACCGCACCATAAGAAAATCAAGCTAAATAAACCATTTTCATTGTTTTACTTTATATTTTTTTTTCTTTCTCACATATTCATGTATATTTATTTTATTTTCAAAGTATGTAATTATTTTAACAAAATATTTTTTGTTATATTCAAACCAATTTGTAAGACATTGAATAAATAAAATTTTATACACAAATAAAGGTAATTTTTGTGTATATTTATAAGTTTACACACATATTTGGATAAATTTCAACATTTTTAGTGGTTGTTTTGATAAAGTTTGAAAAGGGGGTAAATTTAAAAAGTGGTATTTTTAAAGGGGTATTTTTTAAATTCTCCCAATATCATTTCTATTTTTATCATTAACAATATTATTGTTTTATCAAAAAATACTGAAAAGTACTAAAGAAAATTACTATAAAAAATGATTAATTGTACAATTAATCAACGAATAAATTCAAAAGATATGGATGTATGCTTCTATTGTATGATTTAAATAAATAACATGTAAAAATGTCATAAGCATTAAAATTTATTTAATCTATTTTTATAAGTAATAAATAAATTAAAATAATTAAATAAATATACAACAACTCGCGCATATGCGCGGGACATTACCTAGTAAATATAAACATAAAGAAGATGAAAAGAGTTAAGTTTCCGTTTAAAATGAGGATTTAAACATAAAATGTTGCATGGTTGACAAAGCTAGAAAAAAAACTAACATGATATAAATACAAATCTGTTATTTTCCCAAAAATCCCTAAGTTGATCAACTCACACATAATCAAAAGATACGACTTGTCTCTTCTTTCTGATTTATCTTTGTTTTCAAATCGAAGAACAATGTTTGATGTGTATTTTAGCTATATGAGCAAGAAGAACCAAAACTTTTATTTATTTATTTAAAAGGTTATAGATTTATAGTAAATATATCAGCGAATATTGAATTTTACCATCCAAAATATGATGAAAAAAAAGTCAAGAATCACTCCCCGAAGATGAAGCTGAGAACAAATCACGGGTGTTGAATTTATAAGATCACAATGATTATTATACGTAGACTTAAGTTTTCTTTGGTCGACCATTACTATTTCTGACTTTTATGGTTAATTTAAAGTATTTGAAATGTAACGGCGACGACTACGAGTCTACGAGTAAACATTTACAACAAAGAATCGCATAATTGTGCCTTCAACTTTTTTTACCTTTTTTTTTTTTATTTTCTATATTATATGTTTAATCCCATTTTAAGAAATCTGATTATAATACACTATAATATAATATAGAAAGAAATCCATTTGTAAGATAGTTGTATGTGCCCTCTAATTTATCTTCATATATATGAACTATATATTAAGATAAACTATACATATATATGGTTAATCTAGTTTTGTAAAAAGACAAAGATTTCTCTTTTTGCGTCTGGTTGGCAGCTCATGATCGGTTATCTACAGGTGATCATATGCTTCTTTGGGATCGGGGTTTCTTTGGGCTGTGTGGCTTCTGCCATAAGTGCGTAGAGACTCGGGACCATCTTTTCTTTGCATGCGACTACTCTTCGGCAATCTGGGCAGCAATTGCAAAGGGCCTTCTCCAATCTAACTACACGATAAGTTGGCCAGTTTTACTTCATCAAGTCTCTTCGCCTTGGCAAAACCGTGTCACTACTTTTCTCCTGCGGTACGCCTTCCAAACTACTATCTACGCAATTTGGCGAGAGAGGAACGGAAGACGACATGGAGGACCATCAACACCAGCTCATCAACTCACTCTTTGGATTGACAAACAAGTTAGGGATCAATTATCTTCCATTCGCCGAGGGGGAGATAGGCGCTACGATGACGGACTACAAGCTTGGTTCCGATCTAGAAGTTGATTTTTCTGAATTTGGTCAATTTTATTTCGATAAATTTTTCAATATAAATGTTGCACTAGTTGTACAAACGCTTATATTTTTCTTTTGAATATAATTTAACATTAAATTCAAAAAAAAAAAAAAATAATCTAGTTTTGTAGATCAACAAATTAATATGAAGAAATTGTAATATTTACTATATAATATTAAGTATATATTAAGATAAACTATATGGTAATATAGTTTTGTAGAAGAATCTAGAAACTCCACAAAAAAGAAACGTAAATATATAGAAATTATAATATGAAGATATTTTAATATTTAATAATTTATTAAATAATATGAAGTAATTTGAATTATATATTAGGATAAACTATATGGTAATCTAGTTTTGTAGATCCACACATTAATATGAAGATATTGTAATATTTACTGTATAACATTAGCTATATATTAAGATAAAATACTATATGGTAATCTAGTTATATAGAAGGATCTAGAAAATCCACAAAAAGATATGTAAAGATCCACAAATTAATATGAAGATATTGTAATTTTTGTTATATAATATGAGCTATATATCAAGATATATTATATGGTAATCTAGTTTTGTAGAAGGTTACAAAAGATTCACTACTTAATATGAAGATATTGTAATATTTATTATATACAAATATGTATAGATTTAGTTCTATCTTAGTTTAGGAAACCACTTTACTATATAAACATATGTAACCTAAAGCTTATGATTATGATAGTCATTATACAATATTTTCAATTCTAAACTCTTGTTAATCTCAAATCCTTGGGATCATCTCTTAATTTATATGTTTTTTTACTTCTCATTTTTTCTTCTACCAATAAATCTAGCTAAATTACGGGAAAACATTTAATTTTAGCATTGAGCAAGTTTGCTCTCCCATGGAAAACATTCCTCTCCTCTTCTAACCGTTTATGTTTTTCCTCATCTGATCCATCAACACCATCGTTGACTATGCTCAACATCAAGAGATTCCACACCCGATGCGTCTCATGATCCAATTGTACTTTTCTATTGTTGCTTTTTGCCATACTTAGCCAATGCATGTTGTTCTTCGTATGCCTTTTTGTGTAGGCAAAGACCCTCCATGTTAATGTCTAACTCTTGAAATAACTTAGTGATGACCTCAATTTTTTGACTTCTTCCCACATTTCTACATCGTTCGCTGAAATGTATATTTTTTATACAAAATGGATAAACGATGTAATTTTTTTGCTAAAATGTGTGAAAAACTTCGAACAGTTGATGTCATCAATAAGTTGTTTAAAGAGCTACACATCAACGGAGAGGTTCTTTGACTTCCACACATAATAGAGAAACCATATTCATTTTACACAAAAAGGCATATGAAGAAAAACATGCATTGGTGAACAATCGGCTCTTGAGATGATTATGGTAAATGGAAACTTTTTATGTTGAGAATAGAATACGACAGTTTTGATGGACCAGATATGGAAAAACGTAAATGGTGAGAAAATTAGATGAATGTGTTTCATGGACGAGCAAACAGTAAATCTTGCAAAATTATGGGAATGCACTTAACCAAAGGTAAAAAAATATAAAATGATGTTTCAAATTTAGTACAAAATTTTAGAGTGCAAAAAAATGAAATAATTATCTTTAGATGACTTTTTCTTGTACATCAGGGATTTGACTTTTGTACAAGATATCAAAATTATAAACTTTAGATTTGTATTTGAATCATTGCTTTTTTCTTTTTGCTAAAATTATGGGAATGTATTTAATTTTGAACTCTTATTTTACTTTGCAATTATATTTTGATTTTGGATAACTTATAAATAATGAAATATGTCTTTCAGTCGATCTAATATGTGATAAAAAAGTTGATGCTACTTTATTTTCCTAGATTTTTACTATGTTAAAGGTATTTTCAACAATTAAAAAAGTTATTTTTTTTCAAAAATCTATGGATTATTTTCACTACTTTATAATTCAACATAAAAGATAAACTTTCCAATTTTTTTCCATAGCCCACCAATGCAGCTTCTATATATACATTAGCCAAGATAATGTTATCTTCAGTTCCACATCTGAATAAGTTCCAAAACAACTATACACACAAGACCAAAATGCATAAAAAGTTGTGTTTTGGTTTTAGTTTCACCGTACTCTCATTATTCTCCGTTTTAACTGAAGCCTATCGTCATCACACTTCTGCTCAACCGCCACGAGCCAACGAAAACGGTGATGTCAAGCCGCAACAAACACTCTTGGTTCACAACAAGGCCCGAGCCATGGTTGGAGTTGGACCAATGGTGTGGAACGAAACTCTTGCAACGTACGCACAAAACTACGCACAGGAACGAGCCAGAGACTGTGCCATGGAGCATTCCTCGGGACCATTCGGCGAGAATCTAGCCGCGGGTTGGGGAACAATGAGCGGTCCGGTTGCTACTGAGTATTGGATGACGGAGAAGGAACATTACGATTACTACAGCAACACGTGTGGTGGTGAAGATGGAGTTTGTGGACACTACACTCAGATCGTGTGGCGTGACTCGGTTCGACTTGGTTGTGGATCGGTGAGATGTAAGAATGATGAGTATATTTGGGTGATTTGTAGCTATGACCCTCCGGGGAATTACATCGGTCAGCGTCCGTATTAATATGGCCATGTGGTTTAAAGAACATTTTATTACTAGCTACTACTTTATGTCTTAACAACATTTTAGATTAACAAGTGTTGAGCTTGATCGAAACTATATCCATATCAATGCAATATGAACCAAAAATCTATAAGAATCATCTTTTTTTTTTTTTTTTTGTGTGGGAGAAATATCATTACCTTACCCTACATTTATATCACAGCCATGAATAATATCAATCTCACCAACATTGAGTTTCTACTTATTGAATCGACCTATATTATTCACGTGAAAAGTATTTGTGCATGTTTCTTCACGGGTGTGCTAGAAATTTCCGATTCGTTAGATAGCGAAAGCTTGTAACATAAGAGAATTAGCTGATACATACTATACATAGGCTATCATATTATCAGATCAATAAATGAACTCGTAAATTCGCAGTGTTATAGTTTGAATTTGTTCTAATATTTGTCTTGATAATCTTCATATACAAGCAAGAGATCTATTCAAACTCAGTTACGTAAAACGTTTAGTTAAGTTTCAATTCCGTGACTGACGAACTCTGTTTTCTTTAACAAACAAAAATATTCCCTAAAATGATTTATTTCTTTAATATATAAAACGTTCATGTCATCAAACACCAATTAGATCCAATCAATTACAAATTAAAAAACATCGTTTTAACGTTGACATGCAGCATATATGTTCAAATTGTCATTATCATTATAGAACTTTAGTGCAACACTTCACTCTACATTACAAAATGTTATCTCAATCTTTTAAAATGGTTTACGTAGAACAAATCACGGGGGATGGATAAAACTCACGAGAGTTATACAATCACGTGAATGTATATTTCTTTTGATAATACTTGATGTGTTACTCTAAAATTAGAGAGTCATATATCCTTTATTTATGTTTATTTTAAGAAAAGAAAAACAACTAATTAGTCTTCTACTTTATTTGGTTTTTGATGGTGAATATTGGAACCCCAAAAATAGTCACGGAGCTCTCTTGTTTTGTCTTCGGAAGGTTACAAAAGGAGAGGAAGAACATCAGAAAACGGATATGATAATAAATCTTCACGTAAGAGAGAAAAATGTCGTTTAGTGGTTATAAAAGTTTCGTCGTATTAGCGTTATTCTCCATAGTCTTAACTCAAATCTATGGTTTGAGAAATGTAAACCCGATGTACGATCTCCAACCGCGAGAAACGCTAAGGCTTCACAACCAGATTCGAGCCGCGGTCGGGGTTGCTCCATTGGTATGGGACCAAAGACTAGCTGCCCATGCACAGAGATACGCTATGGTACGTTCCAAAGACTGTGCCATGAAGCATTCCACCGATGGAATGTACGGAGAGAATATAGCTGCCGGGTGGGTTCAGCCTGTGGACACAATGAGCGGTCCAATCGCGACCAAGTTTTGGTTTACGGAGAAGCCTTACTACAATTATGCAACCAACAGATGTAGTGATGTGTGTGGGCATTACACTCAGATTGTGGCTAATCAATCGACACGACTCGGTTGTGGTACGGTTAGGTGTTTTGAAAATAAGTATGTTTGGGTCGTATGTAATTATGCTCCTAGGCCGATGGGTGATGCAAATACTCGTCCATATTGATGAATTGCATACAGTTTAAATGTGTTATGTGACTATATTTAGATATTATGATACATAACATGTTATTATAGACACAGTTTTAAGCTATACATAAGTTTGTAATATAGTGGTTTGTATTAGCATTGTTGATGTATCATATATAAGAAAACTTAAAACTTATATTTGAGTTATTTCTTTTGGACTTAAAAAAGTAACATATTGTTTTCTATTATCGCAAATTTTTTTGAGCCCCTAAACAAATCACAAATTTAAATTAAAACATTATATAACCTTCTTCTAAATTGATGCAGGGACAACACATGATAATACGAAGAAATAAATCAATCGAATGGTTACGGCGGTTGAAGTGAACAAATCCGTCTGTAGATTAGACCATTTTTAAGTACTATTCACAAATTATATAGTTTGTACTGTGAAAATTCAAAAAGAATAGAAGAAATTCTATATGACTAATTACTGACTATTTTTACATATAAATAAAATGGACCCTTGGTAAATTGTTGTCCGCTGAAAATTTAGTTGGCTTCATCCGCAACCCTGGCTTAATGCTTTGGCGGATTTTTGAGATCCTTTCGACGACCTATGTTGTGTTGAAGACAACATTTCCATTCAAAACTATAAAAAATGTTTAAAGAGTCAACAATTACTCCCCGAAAATGAAGCAGAGAACAAATCACGGGTGTTGAATACAATTTCCCGTGAATTATAATATGGTACAAAGACTAGATGGATTATACATTGCTTACAAGTCTTGTTGATACATACTATAAAGTTATGATAAGGATTATTTTGTTACGACCAATAAAAAGCTTGACGTTCGTTGGGATTAACGATCGTGTTTCACGTCATTGATTCTGACTTCTGTGTTTAATTACCTGAATCTACGACGACGATTAAGCATTTTACAACAACACATGATTATTTCAAAAACTAATTTAAATATAAAATGTGGTATCATAAAGTTAATTTTGGGACTCTTTCATACGTAGGAATCTAGGATTATTAACTTATCCCTCAACCGGATTAATATTTGGATGTAATATCTTATAATATTTGAAAAGGCTTTACCTAATTGACCAATGACCATTATATGTATGATGTATCTAGTAGGTTGTATTTTAGTATTATGGTATTTTGAAAATATTTACACGTTCATATATATATTGATCCAAAGCATTGATTTTATTTTCTTTTAATATTGGGGATAAAATTTTAAAAGGATCGGAAGGAATAGAAACTAATAAATCATAAAGCTACAAAATTTTGGGAATTCATTTTAAAATTTTCTTATAAAATTTATAAAGTCTACGATAATAAATGAAATATCTATGAAGTTATAGAATGCATTTAATTCTTAATATATATATATATATATATATATATATATATATGAATTTCCGCAAATTCATAAATGATGTCAACTTTTCTTGTGTTAATTTTGAAATCTTTGATTCTATACTAAAACCATAATTTATCCAACATTTTATGTTATTAATAGTGAATTCTAAATTTAATTGTGTGAGATTGACTAATGAGAGATTTAATAAAAAGATAAACCTTCCCATCAAACCAACTTTTTGTTAATTATATGATCTAAATATAAGTTACAGTGCTATTTTTAATTACTTTCTTAGGCCTATATAAGAAGGAAGAAGTAGAATAGACCATAACTTCCAAAACTAATTATACAACAAGAAAAAAAACATAATAAAATGTTGTCTTCTCGTTATAGCTTCGTGGTACTGACATTATTCTCTGTTCTTTTAACTCGAGCTTATGGTCTACCTAAGGTAAGACCAATCTATGATATCCAACCGAGGAAAACGGTAGAGGCTCACAACAAGATCCGAGCTGAGGTCGGGGTAGCTCCATTGGTATGGAACAAAACCGTAGCGGCCTATGCACAGAGATTTGCAAACAGGCAAGCCAAAGCTGGAGTCTGCGACTACGGCTCTATGAAACATTCTGGTGGACCTTATGGGGAGAATATCGCTGCGGGATGGGTCCAACCTGAGGACCAAATGAGCGGTCCAATCGCGGCTAAGTATTGGTATACGGAGAAGCCAAACTATGACTATGCCACCAACAAGTGCAAAGATGTTTGTGGACACTACACTCAGATGGTGGCTAACCAATCGTTCAGCCTCGGTTGTGGCTCGTTCAGGTGTCATGATAACGAGTTAATTTATATCGTATGTGACTATTATCCTATGCCAGTGGGTGATGAGCATACGCGTCCCTATTGATTATTTTGATTTTAATGATTCACAAAACAGACTTCATATGGTATTAATTATGGTGTAATAAAAAAAAAAAAGGTGTAATAATGTATCAATGTTTATGATTTGATAGAAAGTAATATATTAAAATTACTGATCAATTATAGTTTATTATTTTATATATACAATCTATGATTTTTTTTTTTTTTTTTTTGTATTATTGTCCTTGTAAAATCATTTTAAAATTAATATAAAAATCCGTTACATTTGTCCTTTTTTCCGCGCGACAGACCATTTGTCCAAATCGGTTAAATATATTATAATTACACTCTTTCATATATAGATGGCAATTTTTTTATAGATGATTTTCAAAAAAGAATTCCTTAAAAATCAATATCGGAGTTATTTTTCTTTGTATTTAGAGCACAATCATTCGTGAAAAATATGTAGCTAGCTATAAGACATGAAACATTGTGCTACTGGTATAAGGATTGATGGTTTGTAGTTGTTTTTTGAATATTGTGTCATTGATGATGTATTGTCAAATTAGAAGCTAGTAAGCACAATTCTAGCTGAAATTATGCAACAATGTTCTGTCTTGGGGAGCTTTATGATGCGGTTAAAGCGGCGATGAGACTCTAAGCATCCTATATACATTTATGATAAGAGTAGATAACAGTTCTATATCCTCTAGCTAGGCATCAACTATCATTCTTCAATTTACCAAAACGGTTTACTCGATCTGTAAATCAATAATAATAAAAACGAGTTTCGTAATTGTTCGGTTTAATGGCTTCTCATCTTCCTCATTATACTGACATGGAGTTAAAAATAATTTAAAGGTACCAAAAGAGCAATGCTATATATAACTTTTCAAGAAACACAATTTATGGATAGCTTTAAAGTGACGTTACGTTGAGAGGCGCCTTTACTATATAGCCTAGTTGAAAGAAACCATGGCCTTCACTTTTCATTTTCGGGAGTTCAATTCTACAACCCTTTATGTACAGAAGAAAAACAAAAACTAACGTTACGTTGAAGCAAGTTTGGTTGGTACGTATCTTATGAAATTCAAAAATAAAAATATAGGGATAAAGTGAGATTATTGGGTACTACACAAACTTATCAAAATTAGAACGTACGGATTGCAATATTTCGAGAAGCAAATTAAAATGTCAAGATATTACAAGTACGCAAACCTGATGAAAACCTAAGTGCCCATCTAAAACAAAACATTTCAAGTGGTAAGTCAAATATAGATTTTAGTGGTGAACTATAACTATGTACTCAGATACAATATATAATTTACTACTGTTTAATATCCTCAAATTCTTACTATCTTTTTTTTTTGGTGAATCCCCAAAGAGTAAAAATGGAAGAAAACATACAAGACATTTTCATGTATTTTATGTTATATTGTTTAAACATCTTGATAAAATTTTAATTCTAAAGACCTTTTATATGTATACTGACGGTGCCTTCATCAACAGCCTGTTCAAGACCGTCGTCTTCCGATCAACTATATCGAAACAAAATGTCGAACAAATGGTTATTCGATTCATCCAGGGTTTTGGTTGGGTTATAAGAGCAACATTATTGCAAAGCTCTTAAAACCGAAAATGGGTATCTTAGCACATTGTTTTGTATCTTATATACGATGGCAAGATGATCCTTCTGCCCCTTGACAAATCACAAGTAGTCTTAGCTAGAAACGGTAGGTAATCTTTGAAGTTATCGTTTCCTTTTGACATTATGACAACTAGTATAAAAGTCTTAATTTAAACCCTTCCACAAGGTGTTAAATTGTCCATCTAGCTAGGTAATAAAATACATCACTAGACACCATAATAATCAAAATGATGTACGCAGTACGCACCTTCAAATTGGTATATGTTCTCTCATCCTTTTTAGACTTTTTTTTCCCTAATCTTTGGATTGTTTCTCGTTTATATAATTTATAACATTTTGGCCTAGTGATAGATGAACAAGACACATAAAATGACCTTATAATGTTATTAGATCAATGTGATATAACAAAATCGGAACTACAATCTTTGTGTGTATTTGAAGAAATTGCAAACCACATATGATAAGGCTATCCTTAATATTTTTGAATCTGCATGGCCTAAACATACAAAAATGACGTTATTTCGTGTTTAAAAGTAGCACCAAAACGATAGCGTTTAGTGAATAGTACAAAACAAAGTCGTTTACTGTAGAGAAGGGTATTTTTGTAACTTTCAAATTCCTATTAGAAGAACTTTTAGGAGAAATCTTCAAAATCCCAATTCGACGGCCACGATCAGCTAGACTACTGTAAATCACGTGGTCGCGACACCACCGGATCAACGATCTGAGTTCTTCCTAGTTCGCTGATATGCGTATTCCAGTGGGAAACATCTGAAGAATCTCGTTCTTCGTCTTTCTATTTGATTCAAGCTCTGTTACAGAGATCAGAACTCGTTCGCCTAACACAATTGTTTATTCTATAACATCTTCTGATTTCAAAATCGTGAATTTAAGAGCCCCGGTGGTGCATGGAAGCAAGCTCCTTTGAACGGGGAGTTTACCTTCTAATTTGAATTTGATCGATCATCAATGGCGTCTTGGCTTAAAGCTGCTGAAGGTATATTGTAGTGGTGTGTATTTGCATTCGTTACTGGGATTCTAAATTTTGAAGTTTCGGTTAATTTGTTGAATTTTTCCGTCAGATTTGTTTGAGGTTGTGGATCGTCGAGCAAAATCTGTGGTTGAAGAGCTTTCGGAAGAACAGAGCGAGTTGCAGTTGCCAGGTACTGTGGAGATTACTCTAGTGCAAAAGCTTTATATTTGGTACTGATTTGATCTTTGATTGTAATTTGAATGTCAGAATCATGGAAAATGTCTAACACAAATTGTGCTCTTAAAATTCAATCTTCGTTTCATATTAGGATTTTGGAATAAATTGATGAACTTCAAGTAAGTCTGTGAGAATTTGTACGATGAAAAGAGTCCAAAATGATTATTTTTAAACATTGGCATTGGCCTGGAGTTGATCTGAGAAAAGCTTGAAATTCATAACTTTAGTATTTTAAAATGATAGTCTTCTATATGTCTCTTATGTTTTGTTTTTCTTTCTTTGGGGTGGCTAAAGCTGCCGGTAGGAAAGGGTCCCAAGGGAAGAGAACCAGTTTAAAGAAAAAGGTATTGCCGTTGATCTATCGTTCCTAAGTTCTTCTCTTTGCTTGTTTCATTAATACTTAAGGATTACGATGAACTTTTTAGTTGTGGAATGTATTTTGTAGGCTCGACAGAAACTTGTAAAAGAAGAATCTGCTAACAAAAGAGATTTTTCTGGTGAGCAATTGGGGCCAGGGGTATCACAGTCAGAGGTTTCTCCATCTAAAAGTTCTGTTCCCACTGAAGAGGCCTCTTCATCAGGACCTGTTTTGCAGACAACAGAGATAAAACAGACTGATGTAGATTTTCAGAGGGGTCAACCACTTCCACAACCAGTGACAGATACAAGAAGTGAGAATGCTTCTGTGGTAGCTTCAGAATCTGTTGTGGACGGTGATGGAACTGAGTCAAAGCATGCTGATGGAGATAATCCAAATGATTCTGTGGTGCAACCATCACCATCTTTACCTGAAAAAGAGATTGAGGTTGCTGTCAGTGAGAACCTGGTTGATGCTCCCAAAAACGACGCACAAAGTGAAATAGATGATTCTTCAAAAAGAGACCTGGAGAAATTGGAATCTGTAGTGCATGTATCTCCGATTGGTGAAGGGAATATGCCTCAAAGCACAGGTGATGAGGCGAAAGTTAGCACGTCAATCAATCTGGAGAAAGAACAGGAACAGAAAGTTCCTGACACCTCAACTAATCTGGAGAGAGAGCAGGACCGTAGAGCTGATAAGACTTCCATGAAGATTCAAGATCAACTTGAAGAGGTTAGTTAGTCTCGAGAAATGTAAAAATTAGCAAATGCTATGTCTGCTAATTGATTTTCCATGTATGTTGTCTTCTTAAAAGTCTGTTGATAAATCTTTCTACTAATTCTAGGCCCAGGGGTTGCTAAAAGCTACAGTTTCCACTGGGCAGTCAAAAGAAGCCAGGTTAGCAAGGGTAAGTTCAAATATCCATTGCTAGATTATTGCATGAACTTTTGGTGATTAGACACTCTTTCATATATAAGATAGGATTTATCCATGACCAATTTCAGATGTATGCTTCTTTTGTCTTAATCTGCTTTTAGGTTTGTGCTGGACTTTCATCCCGTCTTCAAGAAATTAAGGCGGAAAATGCACAGTTGGAAGAGCTTCTCACTGCAGAGGTAAATTTCAACAGTTATAGTTTCTTTTGACCCAGATAAGAAAAAGTAAAAGTGATACTTGAAGGTGGACTGTGCACCTAATTTTATTCTTCATTTTTATTGTTAATAGCAAGAGCTTACCAAGTCATATGAAGCTAGCATTAGACAGTTGCAAAAAGAAATGTCAGCTGCTAAAAGTGAAGTGACGAAAGTAGAGTCAAGCATGGTTGAGGCACTAGCAGCTAAAAACTCAGAGATAGAAGCACTTGTCAGCGCAATGGATGCTCTGAAAAACCAGTCTGCTCTGAACGAAGGAAAAGTGTCATCTCTCCAGGTTTCTAGGCCTCTCACTTGCTCATATTTTTTTGTGGGTGTTACCTATCATAGCAAACCATGTGTCTATAATGGTCCTAGTTACTTCCTCTCCTCAGTTGCCATTTTCTTCCCTATCCAACCAACTTTTAGTAAAATCATTTACTTTTATTAGGCAGACATGGAGTCTATTATGAGAAACAGAGAATTGGCTGAGACTAGGATGATGCAGGTATTACTATATATTTTTTTCATTAACGACTTCCAATAAATTGCTGTTTGCTATATACAAATATAAACACATAACGTCCTCAGACCATAGAATCAATATTTTCTTATTCCAGGCATTGCGGGAGGAGCTTGCCACTACTGAAAGGAGAGCCGAAGAGGAGCGTTCTGCACATAATGCCACAAAAATGGTTTGTGGCCTGAACGATGCGAAAGCTGTTTCCAATGGAAACATCATATCATATATATATATATATATATATATTTTACATGAATTGCTCTTTCTAAGACAGGCTGCCATGGAAAGGGAAAGGGATCTAGAGCACAGGGCTGTGGATGCTTCCACAGCACTTGTTAGAATTCAGGTGAGACAGAATTTTTTAGATTGAGCGTTTCTTGTTTACATTTCATATAGGCGATCCAACTTACTATGCTGTTAGTTTCTGAGTGTTGGTTTCTCTTTTTTAAATTTTGTTTCAGAAAACCTTTGCATTTTCATATACTACACATTCATGAACAATGTAAAGATTCTATGTGGAACTCGTAATTCTCAAAAACTATTTTGATTTGACTTTTCAATTGGCTGGTATTTTAGAGAATTGCTGATGAAAGGACAGCGAAAGTGGCAGATCTGGAACAGAAGGTGGCATTGCTTGAGGTAGATGAACTTATCTTCAATGCGATTTGTTCCTGCATCTTCATATGTTTGAACTTAATGCAAATAATTGACAAATAATACTCAGGCTGAATGTACATCTCTGAATCAAGAGCTGCAAGATATGGAAGTTCGCGCTCGCAGAGGACAAAAAAAATCCCCAGATGAAGCAAACCAAGTGATCCAGGTATGTCAGATTAGGCTATCATGCTCGACATTGTGGAAATTAACTAATGAGTTTCGTAGCACACTTTGAAATTTTCTGTTAGAAGTAAAAACTATAGAACATATATGCACAAGTATTTATGATCCCTTGGTAACTTTGATAACTCATGTATCGAGTTTAAATCGTCTATTGTATTCTTATGGTGGTTCGTTTCACATAAAAAGCACCAGCTCTTATAGAAATCAAATTCCAAAAGTGAGAAATATATCCAAAACCTTGAAAACAACTTTATCAGCTTTTCAAAGTTCAGATTTTAGCTACTCCAGAGAAGTTACTTTTAAATATACAGATTCAAGCATGGCAGGAGGAAGTGGACCGTGCTCGGCAAGGTCAGAGAGATGCTGAGGAGAAACTTTCTTCAATGGAGGTATGTTACTAACCTCGGAACCTGATGACATGAAGTATATGTTGTATGCCTATACTAGTATTATTATTTACACATGATCTATTTGTTTGTTATAGGCTGAAATGCAAAAGTTGAGGGTAGAAATGGCAGCCATGAAGAGGGATGCAGAACATTACTCACGCCAGGTGACATTTACAGTTTCTGAGAGTCTGTCTCTTCTTGTCAGCGCATTAACAGTTTCTGATTGTTAGTTTCTCTTACTCCACAATTATGAGATTTCCTAATTACTACTCTTCCATTTCTATCAATTGGATCAGGCAGACCTAATAGTTCTCTATTAAACCTCTTTTGGTTATACTGAATGCAGTAAATATCATTGTCCTTTCAACTTCTTTTGAATCTTTTGTGTGAAAGACTCATTCGATGGTGTTGTGAATATGGCAGAATACCATTGCTCTGCTTGTTAACACGGATCTTGTGAATATGATGGATTTATTCGATGGTTGCTAAACATAATTGACTATGATTTATTGATTTATTTTGCTTTTGCTTGTCACTTGGTACCTTTAATGCATATGATTATTTAACATGAGCATAATCGTTATACCCCTGACCTAGTAGGAGCATACGGAGCTGGAGAAACGCTACCGTGAACTAACAGATTTACTGGTAAGTGAACAAAAGATTGTATTGATTCTATTCTATAGATTAAAGTAAAAAAAGTTGTCTGATAGCTTCCGGCTACTGGGTTTTGATTCAGTACTATAAGCAAACACAACTGGAGACTATGGCGAGTGAGAAGGCTGCTGCAGAGTTCCAGTTAGAGAAAGAGGTGAAACGTCTACATGAAGCGCAGGTCTGGCATCAAAGCTCTCTATAGTTAATTTATATACTTTTGCTTTCCACGCTACTTAAATAAAGGTTCTAAACTTGTTGATTCAGGTAGAGGTTGAAAAAAGCAGAGTTTCACGGCGCCCGTCAGCAACTTGGGAAGAAGATTCTGAGATCAAGACACTCGAGTACGCATTTAAAGTTGTCTTATGTTCTAACTTCTAATGTTTACATTTATGCTGTGTTTGTTTTTCGATACTTACAAAAACAATTTCAGGCCTCTACCATTGTATCACCGACACATGGCTACAGCAAGCACACAGGTAGAGATTTAAGAGCCCATAAAGAAAAACTCTGCTTCTCATCATTTCCTTTTTAACTTCTACTCTTATGTTTATTACTTTATTTGCCTTCTGTCTTCAGTTGCAAAATGCAGTGAAACTGTTAGACTCAGGAGCTGTAAGGGCCACAAGGTTCCTTTGGCGGTACCCAATAGCGCGGATTTTCCTACTCTTTTACCTTGTGAGGCGCTTGCTTACCTATTCAACCTCATTCGCCTTACTTGTGAATTTATGGAGCCTTTAACCGACATCATTTATAAATTTGCAGGTTTTTGTTCATCTCTTCTTGATGTATCTATTGCACCGGCTCCAGGTATGGCTGGTCCTTCTACATTGTCATCACAGACATGGAATTTAAATTGTTGTCATTCCTAATCTCATTCTCTGGTGTAGGAACAAGCTGAGGCCCAGGAAGTTGCGGAAATGACCAACAACGTGTTCAGACCATAACAGATTCCATAAGAAAGCAACCAATGAGGTTTATAAGAGATTGCTGAGTGAGGAATGTGGAAGAAGCATAACTATGGATTACAGAAATAGTTTTGAACTTTTTATATAGGGGCTGCTTCTCACGGTATTCCATATTGCACAGATTTTTTTGTCTCTTTCTAACCGTTGGAATGTGAAGAACATAATGTTGGTAAATGGGGGTTTATACAAGCTTTATTGATGTGCATGGTTTTCGAAAGCATTTGAATCTATGTCTGTCGAACCAACCAGTTCGAACTGAAATGGGTTTTAAAGGTATTCATTTTCTGAAACCTGAACTCTTTAGTAACCAAAAACTCTGATTAGATTGGCACTGAACATGTACCTAATTTGGCCGCCCCTGTAAAATTATTCTCTAACTAAAAAACGAAAACTTAATTTCGGAAAAGACAATAGAGATTAAACAAGAGAAAAGGTTACTGTTCAACATAATTAACATACAACAAAACCATTTGTTTGTAAATGGCAAGAGAGCTTTTTGGTCTTTATAATGAATCACATAACCCTCTTTATGCTCAACAATGCCGTCCCTACAGCTTCAGGTTCGTCATCTGAAGATACGTGTGAAAACAAGCAAATTAGAAGAGTAAAGGTAATGACAGAAAAAACCTTATAGAAGCGGAGAAAGCCAAAGAAAAGTTCTTTCACCGTTTTAAAGGCGGAATTTGGAATATCTTAAGGGAAAAGTGGCTGCTGTAGAAGTCCTGTTGTTTCGGGATATCCCAACATTATGTTAAGATTCTGCAACGCTTGTCCTGAAGCTCCTTTCACGAGATTATCAATCTGCAACACCAAAGAGCTTTTTATACATGCCATTGCGGAAAAGTTAAAGATGAGTTGATAACAGAGCATGGTTATGCTCAATTACCACTGAGATTATGATAGCTCTTCCGGGAATTCGATCAGGAAAGACACTCATATGACAATAGTTGGATCCTCTAACATTGTGTGTCCGAGGAACAACACCTTCATCCAACACTTTGACAAATTCTTCTTCCTACAAAACACTTGTGAAACATAATGAGTAACACAAGTAGTAACTGGCTTACAACACAAGAGTAATCATCACCTCATAAGAGGTCCTCAATTGCTGGTGTAAGTCTTTGGTTGTAACCCCGGGAGCCATTTCCACATATATAGTTGATTGCATTCCGCGGATCTACACAAACAACGAAGACCAATCAATCATGTTTGAGGCTAAAACCATAGAGAACAGGCTTAGGCTTAAGATTTATGTACCATTGGCATGAGATGCGGCGTAAAACTGACTGTTACTTGTGATTGTGCAACATCAGATAATCCCTGTTCAATTTCAGGAACTACAAAACAAAACAGACAGTTGAATTCAAATTATAGAACCAACTTTTACTCTAGTGTAATAACCAAATTGTGACATACCATGGCGATGTCGTGTGACACCATAAGAAGAAATGCCTTCAGCTATCTCAGAGTAAAGATTCGCCTCCTTAGCACCACGTCCTGATGATATTTCCATATTAGTCAAGAAACAAGAAACATTCTAATGCATCATTGTTCATGACTAAAGATCACGGAGTAAGCTCAAACCTGCTCCACTAACACCAGATTTAGCGTCAATAATAATGTTTTCATGTTTGATGAGCTTTGCCTGCATAAGAGTCAACACATTGATCAGAGTTGAAGTGAAGACTCGTCAGTCTAATAAAATCGCATTCTGGAAAAGAACAGACAAAAAACCTTCATTAAAGGAACAAGAGGAAGTTGAATCGTAGTAGGGTAACAGCCAGGGTTAGCTACAAGGCGCGCCTTTCTAATGTCCTCCCTTAGAATCTCTGTTAGACCATACACAACTTCTTTCTGAAAACCCACCATGACGATTGGAAAGTGTAAGCATTATGAACACAACAAGACACAAAACCCAGAGATATCTTTTGAGAAACAGTACCTGTAACTCTACTGCCTTGTGTGGCTGACCATACCATTCTTCATATTCTGAGATATTACGCAGCCGGAAGTCCTAAAAAGTGTATTTTAGATAAGCATATCACATATAGAAAAAAAGAAAAGCCATTTCTCTAGGGCATTACCGCTGAAAGGTCAACAATTTTTAATGCACTGGGCAGTTCCTTGATAATTTCCTGTCAAATTACATACACTCATTTCTGTTAAGCTAGGAAAAGCTTTGAAACAAATTTCAATGGAAGCATTAAATGAAATATATACCTGGGTTGTTCCATGAGGCAAACAGCAGAATACAGCATCCACAGTAGAAAAATCTGCATCCTTTACTGAGATCAAACTAGGTAGTTTCTGTGGACAGGAAATAGGCTTAGTCATTGACCACTATATGCCATCACAAAGTATCATTGAACAGATTCATCACTTGGAATTAAAATAGGGATAGAAATCACTTATACTTGAGCTCTCAGGTGCGGGAAAACACTTTCCATTGACTGGCCAGCTTTTCTATCGGCAGTCATCAGAGTGACCTGGAAATGCGGATGATTCGCAAGAAGCCTGACGATCTGCCATTCAATAAACAAGGTGTCCCAAATCATTGTTCAAATAAAAACTTTGCATTTGAAACAACACTTAGATACCTCATCCATTCTTTCCCATGAAATATTAAAGAGCCTTAAAAACCAGTGCTACTAGCTTCTTTTCCTTCCTTTTACCGGACTAAACACTAAAATTTGCATATGTTCACTGCTCAAGGCTAAAGCTACAAAAGGAATACCCAAAAAAGGCCACATACTTGCAACAAGATGCATAAAAACCAAAGAGATCACTAAAACAAACAATTCCAAGGAAATTAAAACTTTCAAACAGACAGATTCAACATTGCACAAACCTCTGCACCAGTGTAGCCACTAGCACCAAGAAGACCAATCCGAATATCCTTTTCTGGTTTAGCAGAGCTATTGGCTGAAACTCTGAAGCTCTTTGAAGATAAAGAAGCCACATGGGATCCCAAAGTAAGCTTATTGACTCGCTTGTCTGCTACACGAATCTTCTTTTCCCCCTTTTCAAAACAGAGAAAACCCACATTCGTATAATTATCAGATTGCACACAAACAAACTACAGCGAGCTAATGTAGGATAAAAACTAGCTCTTCTCCGTTGAATTTGATCAAAATGTGGATTCAGTGGAAAAATCAGAAACTGGAAAATAAAGATGTTAAAGAGTTTAAAAAAAAAAACCTTGAACCAGCATCCTCGTTCGAAGCAGATTGAACTAAAAGCCGACGCAGTACTCATTCTTCGATCGGATACTGCAACAATTCAAAAGTCAGGAAAAAACTAAAAAAGGACTAATCTTTTTGCGCTCAATGTAATTTCTGACTGAGATATGTTATGAATGTACAGAAATGGAGACAATTACAGTAGTGAAATTAAATAAACCTAACCTCGTCACTCTCTAAGACTTGGTCGGACAAGTTCGACGGAGACGACGACAAAGAATCAATCACACGACAAGATTGTGGTACGAAAAAAAAAAACGACACGACGCCGTCTGAGGTATCAACCCTAGACCAAAAACGATGTCGTTTAAAAGAAACTCGTGGATTGAACCCACGTGTCGAGGCGCAGCCACAACCATTGTAGCAGAAACGTGATACTTTAACTTACTCGGCGTTTGCATCATGTGGCGACAAAATATTGTATTTTTGGAAAATTATACATGTCTATAACGGTTAGATGAAATAAAAAACAAATCTTTTTGGAGTCAAAACGAAATCTAGAGGAAAAAGCTTCCAACTTTATTTATTTCTTTGTGTCGTCAAATCAAAATTCACTATCACTTCTATTTTATGAAATTTCTCTACAATCAGTGATCAGTCTCTGGTTCTTCTACTGGGTATTTCTGCAAAAACCCTTTTTAACTCTGAAGCAAGAGTGAAGAAGCAGAAGAAGAAAGTGTGAGATTCTGACGAACGAAGGGGAAGAAAAATGATAACTTTGCGCAGCGCCAATCATAATGCTTCTTCGTGGTCAAGGATCGCACTTTCGGGTCGGATTGAAATAGCGTTGGTGAATATCTACAGACAACACAATCTCACTCCTATCAATGATGAGACGAGGCAGAGACTGTGTTCGATTCCTGAGAATTTGGCTTTTGAGTTGGTCAGCGACGTTCTTAGTTTGCAGGTTGGTGTGATTTACAACCTCGACAGCTTCATTGTTTCTAAGGTTAACCAGGCCGTTAGTGTCACTGGCTCTCAGCGGCTGAGCTCCGGTGGATCTTCGGCACAGCCTCGTAGCCCCTCTGGAAGACACGTGTGCAGGGTCCTTGATCAAGGTCAGTATCACAAAACACTCTCTTTGCTTGTGAATATGTGATTTTGGTTTTGAATTCGGAGGAATTTTAGAAGACAACCACCTTAAAGTAGTTAAAAATCGTTACTTTGTTTTGATTGTTGTTGGCGATTACAGACGAGATGTCTGTTGATTCTGATGCTCCTTCTTCCAAGTCTTTACAAAGAGAAGACGTAGGAGGAACTCTGCACATTCCTCAGCTTGTAGCTTTGGGCGAACTCGAATTCAAGAAGGCGTTTCTCTTACTTAGCTATATTCCAGGGTAATGTTTGTGATGCAAGTTTTCCAAATCTTTTCCATCACTGTAATCACTTTTCCCAAGTATTTGAAGTGTTTGGTTTTGGGGAAAGTTACCTTTTTGGGTAATACTTAACTTTTTTGGTGTTATGCAGGCAGCGTCTGGGTGAGGTTGTAACTGCTGAAGAAATCAGACGATGGAAAGATTTACCCATGGTTGCATATGAAGCAGCGGTTTGGGACAGCTTGGGCCGGAAGTTTTGTCCTCAAACTGACGAAAGAGTGGTATGCTGTTTTGTTGTTCTATTGGGTATTATTTTTACATTTCAAGAGGCGATTTGATCAGAAGTAGAGACTTGTTGGTTACTAGATAATTATTTTCTGCTATGAGAATTTTGACTTTGGTATCAAAGTTGTGCTAACTGCATCTTCGTACTTGCTTCCTTTCCCCAGTTACAGTGGGATAGCGGGAAGACCCATTACTATCAATGTCATGTAGCTCCCGATGGTAGCTACACATTTAAGGTTGATCGGCTCTTCAAGTAATATCCTTCATTTTTGCATTTTTGCATTTTCTCATCTCACATATGTTCTTTGTGCTACATAGGTTCAGCAATTTGTTATCATATGTCTGATATACTTCATGTCTCAGTAGTAGGATAAAGTCATTGACAGTGACTTAATACGCTGGTACTTATCTATACACTTTTTGCAGGGCCCTTTACTGGAAAGCACTGGAACACACCTTCACAAGGTCTTGGGTGATGAAAATGTTCTAACGGTCAAATTCGCAAATGTCCAGAAAAACTCGTCAACCTATTGTAGTGACAGCTACTTCACATACAAAGGGATTGCCAAGAACGGAATCATGGTTGGTTTACGTCGTTATAAATTTTTTGGTGGGTTGTTTTCCTTTCTGGCCTTTATTAACTATCATTCATGTCATCGGATACACAACATTTTGCATTAAGTACTCTTGATTTTGGATTAGAACCGGGTAGATTATTCTAACATTCTGTTGAACAGTTTTCAAAGATGGAGGGAAAGACGACAAAAACAAAGATGTTTCTACAAAGAGAGCAAAGTGCTACTTTATACGCACAGACTCTACAGCTTCAATTGATATGGAAAAACCCTATATCTTTTCCGGGAAGTCAATCCATGAAGCTCGTATGCATTTTATGCATGTGCATACATTGCCTTCTTTGGCCAACTATATGGCAAGGTACTCCTGTTTTTTTCTATTTGAGAGAAAACAAGTGCTACAGTTTTATCTTTGAAGTCCTTGGAAAGATCTTCTCTTTTGTAATTGAGCTCACCTTTCTGTTTGTTGATGCTTCAGGTTTTCTTTAATTCTTTCGAAGACTAAGAAGCTTGAAGTTGATTTGACAGGAGTTAACTTCGAAATAATCAAGGATATACCCTGCCATGTACTTCCTAAACTGACAAGTCCATTAGGACCTCAGCCTCTTTCTACTTAGCCTTACTTAGTGATTTACTAAGCCTCACTAGATGCTTCTACCTTTTCTAACTGTTCCAATGGCAGGATCAAGATGGTAAAGATGTTCTTGACAAGAATAAAAAACCTCGTATACATTCAGATGGAACTGGCTACATCTCTGAGGACCTTGCTCAGATGTGTCCAGTAAATATATATAAAGGGAAATGTCTCAGAAGTGATAAAATAAAGGTCCTTTCCCTACTTCCATGACTTTGATTGTTCACTCTTTTTTCTTTTTAATTCTTAAGTTTCCTTGTCATTTTTTATTTATTTGCTGTGAATTAAGAGTACGATTTCAAATTTTGAAGGACAGGAAGCATGTGGCCAAGAACCGGTATGTATAATATAATGACTACCCCTGTTTTTGATTTATCATATATATATATTTGTCTATTAAAGAATACAAGTAGTAAGTTAGTAACACTTATTTTTTCCAACAGCCTCTGCTGATCCAGTTTCGGATGTTTTATAATGGCTATGCTATTAAGGGAACTTTCCTCTTAAACAAGAAAGTAAGTTTGCTCTCTTTCTGAATTTTTGGTTTGAATGTTTGCAAGCTATTCCTTAATTTTCTCCCAATTTGGTAGATTCCTTCTCGGACTGTCCAGGTTCGACCTTCTATGATCAAGGTGTTGCCAGATTCGTTGCCGAATATTAGTACATTTAATACCCTGGAGGTAGTAAATACAAGGTATTTGTTCCTTGAATATTTTTTGTATTGATACTGAAGTTCTCTCACCCAACGTTCTTATTATGGAGTGAAGTTATCTTAGTGACATCTAGTTATTTCCATCATCCAGTTTTCCACCAAAAAGAACAAAGCTATCAAGAAATTTGGTTGCGCTGCTTAGTTATGGGGGAATCCCTGATGAATTCTTTTTGGATATATTGCACAACACTCTGGAAGAGTCGAAAGCCATATTCTACAACAAGCGTGCCGCACTTAATGGTGCTTAAAATTCCAAAGCTTTCTGGTTCTTTTGCATTTTTTCTGTAATCATGTCCCTAAACCTACCGAGTTATGTAGCTAAGAGATGTGACTCTTGATGGATCTTTTAAGAATCAATTTGTCTGTGCAGCAGCCCTTAGTTACGGCGAAATGGACGACCAAAATGCTGCACAAATGATATTGGCTGGTATCCCCCTTGACGAACCACACTTGAAGACTTGTCTTTCTAGTTTCTTAAAGAGAGAGAAAAATGATCTCAAAGCAGGCAGGCTTCCTGTGACTGAATCTTACTATCTCATGGGGACAGTGGATCCTACCGGAGAGCTAAAGGAAGATGAAGTCTGTGTCATCCTGTATGCTACTCAACTCTTCTCTTACTATTTCATTTTGAATTTTTATATGGAAACACCAAGTAACAGTGAAAGAAATTGTGAGATAGTTGTTCATTTCGTTACTGCTTCTTGTCATGGTTTTGTAGCGAGTCTGGGCAAATTTCGGGAGAAGTGTTAGTTTATAGAAATCCTGGATTACATTTTGGAGACATACATGTACTTAAGGCTACGTATGTTAAGGCCTTGGAAGAGTATGTTGGAAATTCCAAGTTTGCTGTATTCTTCCCTCAGAAAGGTCCAAGATCCTTGGGCGATGAGATTGCAGGAGGTGACTTCGATGGTGATATATATTTCATATCAAGAAACCCTGAGGTAAATTCACCACATTATAAAGTAAAGTTAATCATTGTTGTGACCTTATTTTGTTCGGTTTGCTTTCTTTTTTAGCTACTTGAACACTTTAAGCCAAGTGAACCGTGGGTGAGTTTGACTCCTCCCAGTAAAAGTAACTCTGCTAGAGGGCCTTGCCAGTTTTCACCAGAAGAGTTGGAAGAAGAGCTTTTCGAAATGTTCCTGAAGGCAGGATTTCATGCCAGGTACTCCCAACCCACTTCTTAGATCTCAATACTGAAAGATTCAAAACTGTCTTGGATTTGCAGGATAAGATTTATGTGTCTTTTTTATCGTGTTCACAGCAATGTTATAGGAATGGCCGCAGATAGCTGGTTAACAATAATGGACCGCTTTCTCATACTAGGAGATGAGAGCGCTGATGAAAAAGCTGAAATGAAGCAGAAAATGCTAGAGCTTATTGATATATACTATGATGCTCTTGATGCACCGAAGAAAGGGGCTAAGGTCTATCTCCCGAATGAGCTGAGGCCTGATATTTTTCCACATTACATGGAGCGGGATAAAAAATTCAAGTCTACTTCGATTCTTGGATTGATCTATGACTTTGTTCAATCACAGACAACAAAGCAACCCTCACCACCATCTGGTAAAGGACTCTTCTTGTTACTACTACATACAGTAGACATATACTCAGATCACCAAAGAAATCATAATATGTGTTTTACCTGTGGTATACAATTCAGAAATCAATAAACTCCCGTGTTTCGAAGATGAGCCTGTTTCTGAGTTTCATATGAAGGAATGTAGACGGTGGTATGATGAATACAAAGATGAGATGACCCACGCAATGAATACAGATGCGAGTAATAAGAATGAAATTATTGAGAGATGCAAGGAGGTAATTTCCTCTATCCAAGACCACTCGTGCAGATTCAGTTAATCTAATCTCCTCAAAACGATGTGAAGAACAGCATTATGATACACAATCACAAAACTTGGTGAATATACATTCTAAAAAACAGTTTCTTCTCGTGTACCAGGACTTCTACGGTGCTGCAAGTTTTGAAGAAAGCAAGAAAAGTCTGGAAGAACTCTATCCGCAAGCCCTGGCACTCTATAACATAGTTTACGATCATGCCACTCATGCAGGTGTTTCGAGATGCGGGTTTGTCTGGAAGGTAGCAGGACCTGTCCTATGCAGATTCTATCTTAAGAAAAGGCATGAGAAAACTTTAGTGTCTTCACCCTCTGTGCTAAAAGAGATCTGGGGTTGAAGAATACAGTTGCTGGTTCAACCCTGTTCTGGTAATTATAACAAGCCTTTGTTTTCAATAAGAAGCGTGTCAGGCAAGTAAATTAGCTCATAGGTGCCAAGTTGTGTTGTAGTAGTGCCTTTGGATTGGTTTGATTTTGTAGATTTTTTGTAACCTTGAATCTTGTAATGTTAAATGTTGCAGAATTTTAAACCTTGAATCAGTATCCTTGTCAAAAGCAAACTGAAGTAAAATCAAGGAAATAGGATAATAATCTCGACCGTCAATAAATTCGCGATTATTGCAATGACGATGTCGCAACAACGCGATTTTAGTTGAGCGTTTGAAGCGGTAGTGAGAAAGTAGTGGCAGGTTTTGTAATTATAACGGTTGTAGCTGGGCATTTTGATAAAATTAAAAAACGAATAAACGGCTAGATGTTAGTGCGTGTGGGTACTGTATATAAAATCTCCGTCTTGTCAAATCAAAGAGACTTACACAAAAACAATTTTTGAGAAAAATTTCAAAAAGAAAATCAAAATTTGATTTTTGAAATGGAAAGGAAGCAAATTTGAGAAAATGGCAGCGAAAGGAAAGAGTTAAAGAGTTTCTCTTTCCACTGTGGTGTGTATATATATAGATTGTATGAACCCTAAAGAGAGACACAAAACTCTGATTTTGGGGAAAAACAAAGATGAACACTTGTTCGTCGTTGTCGTACCTTAACACCAGGAGCGATGAAGTGTCTCCGCGTTCAGAGATCGCTCTTACGGGTCCTGTTGAGACTTTGTTAGAGAAGATATACGGGAAACACAAGCATCGTCCGATTAATTTGGAGACAAGGCGGAAGCTTTCTTTGATTTCTGAGGAATTGGCTTTGGAAGCGCTGAGTAAAGTTTTCAATGCGACGTATGTGAAGAGCACTGTTGATGTATTGATCAAATATTTCGTTAAAGATGCGGCCACTGTTGATGGCTCTCCACGGCCGAGTCCTGATGAGTCTCCGGTTCAGTCTCCTAGAACTCCTGGGAAAAAAAGTTGCAGGGCTTTTCAAGGTTAGTCTGATGGGTTCAAAGATTAATACTTTTGCTTGTGTTGTTTATATGCTCTAAGACTGTGGCCAATTGTTGTAGCAGAAGTGTCTCTTGATTTGGAAATTCCCTCTCCTAAGTTATTGAGGAGAGAAGAAACTGGAGGATCTAATCACATTCCTCCGCTAGTAGCTCTTGGCGAACTTGAATTTAAGAAGATGTTTCTGTTGCTTAGCTATCTTGGAGGGTATGTTTTATGCTGGAGAAAATTTTCCATCACTTTTTTATATCTATTTTTTCGGAAAGTGATAGTCTTTTTGCAGGAAACCCCTTGAGGTTATATCTGGTGACGATATCAGACAATGGAAGGATTTGCCAATGGTTTCATATGAAGCAGAGGTTTGGTTCCAGTTGGGAGAGCGTTATTGTTCCAAAAAGGAGCGAAGAAGGGTATGGAAGTTCTCTGTTCTGTTCTATGGGGGTGTTCTTTATCATATAATTTCTAGAGTGAATTGACTAGACATGGAGAGAACCCTGCAAATTCCTTTTTAACTGCTGCAGTTTATGAGAAATCTGAACTTTGGTGTCAAATCTGTACTAATTGCGTCTTCTTTCATGCTTCTTTCCCCAGTCACTTGAAGGGGATAGTGAGAAGACTCATTACTATCAATGTCATGTTGCTACTGATGGTAGTTACAAATTCAAGGTCGGCTCTCCAAACTCTGTCTTTCATGTTTGCATTTTGGCGTATTGCATACGTTCTTTGTGTTTCCTTGATATATATTCTTTGTTGTGAAATGATCTGGATTCAAGAGATACTATTAGAGGCTGTTGCCATTGTTTGCAAGTCGCTATTATAAGTCAGTTAGAAGTATATATCCTACTGTTAGGATAAAGTACTTGACAGTATCTTAATACGGTGTTACTTATTGATAGAATGTGTTCACAGGGTCATCTTCTGGAGAACACTGGAACACACCTGCACAAGGTTCTGGGTGATGATAATGTTTTAACCGTCAAATTCGATGATATGTCATGCACGGAAACCAATTGTAATAACCTGTACTCTACATACGAAGGGATTGCTAAGAATGGTATCATGGTTGGTTTACGTCGCTATCAATTTTTTGGTGGGTCTTTTTCCTTGTTATTCTCTCTTGATTATTATCTATATTATTTCACATACACCACTCTTCATTGTTAAGGTGCTATAAGGCCATGTCTTGCAGCTATCGTCATACTTTTTCTGTGTTTTTTTTTTGGTGAAAATACTTTTTCTCTGTGTTTAAAACTGCACAGAATATCTTATTTACCTCTCTTTTAAACAGTTTTCAAAGATGGCGGGAAAGAAGGGAAAAAGAAAGATTTTTCTAGACAGGGAGTTAAATGCTACTTTATACGCACAGGCTCTACAGCGTTGAGTGATATGGAAAATCCTTATATCCTTGACGGGATGTCAATCCATGAAGCTCGTATGCATTTTATGCATGTGTATAATTTGCCATCTCCGGCGAACTATATGGCACGGTACTCTACTTTATTTTAAGTCTCTATTGCATGCATATGAAGACTTTTTGCTGTTTCATCTTTAAACTCTTCTAGAGATGCTCTCATTTTAAATCACAGTAATTGTAGTCAAGTTGCTTTTGCTGATGCTTCAGGTTTTCTCTGATTCTGTCAAAGACTAAAAAGCTTGAAATGGACATGACTGGGATTACCTTTGAGAAAATCGATGATATACACTGCCATGTAGGTCCTTAAGTCTTAAACCATGTTTTCTTCAGTAACTTCATCTCTAAGGCCTTAGCTTAAATGCATCCACTCTGTGACTTTGACCGTTTTCCATTTCTTCCAATCGCAGGATCAAGATAATCATGACGTTCTTGATAAGAATGGGAAACCATGTATACATTCAGATGGAACTGGCTACATCTCTGAGGACCTTGCTCGGATGTGTCCAATTAATATTTTTAAAGGGAAATCTATTAGAAGTAACAATATTAAGGTCTTTCTTGTACTTACCATGATTATTTTATGGTTGCTTAGTTGCCTTTAGTTCACTGTGTTACCTTATCATGTTTGTTTCTTTTTTTTTATTACACAGGGAACCTGTGGTGAAGACCCGGTATGTAGTTTACATCCACATTCAAGGATTCTGTATTTTTCTATCACTTGACACATGTAATAACAATTCTTATTTTCCACAGCCTCTGCTGATCCAGTTTCGGATGTTTTATAAAGGCTACGCTGTTAAGGGAACTTTTCTCTCAAACAAGAAAGTAAGCCAACTCTCTTTCATGTCACAAATTCAGGTTTGCAAGCTATCCCTAATTTTCCTCCTTTATTTGGCAGCTTCCTCCTCAGACTGTCCAGGTTCGACCTTCTATGATTAAGGTGTATGAAGATCAGGCCTTATTAAATTTTAGTACCTTTAACTCTCTGGAGGTAGTCAATACAAGGTAGCTTTCTCATGGATTTTTATTATCTTGAATTTGAACCCAATTCTCGCTCGTTGTTCTTTTTTGATGATCTTTGGTTGTTATCATCTTTCAGTAATCCACCAAAAATGACGAGGCTATCAAGAAATTTGATTGCGCTGCTTAGTTATGGAGGAGTCCCTAATGACTTCTTCTTGAATATATTGCGCAAAACGTTGGAAGAGTCCAAAACCATATTCTACAGTGAACGTGCTGCAATTAAAGGTACTAAAAACCCAAATCTTTCTGGTTCCTTTGCAATTTCATACTACCCCTGAAACCTCTAAGTTAACTTAACTTATGCGTCCTGAAGTATTTAATATGATAAGTAGTTTGAGGAGACACTTGATGGGTCTTTTATTAAGTTAATGTGTATGTGCAGCTGCCATTAATTATGGGGATATGGACGACCAGAATACTGCAGAAATGATCTTGGTTGATATTCCCCTTGACGAACCACATTTGAAAGATCGTCTGTCTATTCTCTTAAAAACAGAGAAGAATGCTCTCAAAGAAGGAAGGCTACCTATTGGCGAATCATACTATCTAATGGGTACGGTGGATCCCACCGGAGAGCTTAAGGAAAATGAAGTCTGTGTCATTCTGTATGCAACCTAATTCTTCTCTTGGTCTTTCACTTTGGGTTCTAGATGGAAACAGAAAGAAATAGTAACTAGCTTTAATGGAATTATGAGATATTACCTAGAAGGAGCTGTTCATTTCCTCACTGCTTTCTTTTTATTGTTTTGTAGCGAGACTGGCCAAATTTCTGGGAATGTGTTAGTTTACAGGAATCCTGGATTACATTTTGGAGACATACATGTACTTAAGGCTACATATGTCAAGGCCTTAGAAGACTATGTTGGAAATTCCAAGTATGCTGTGTTCTTCCCTCAGAAAGGTCCAAGATCCTTGGGCGATGAGATTGCAGGTGGTGACTTTGATGGCGATATGTATTTTATATCCAGAAATCCTCAGGTACTCTACTATCCATCGCATTTGAAATTATTTTTTTCATTACTGAGACCTGACTTATGAACCGTAAAACCTTTTTTTTAGCTACTGGAACACTTCAAGCCAAGTGAACCGTGGGTGAGTTCTTCTAAACCGAGCAAAGTTTACTCTGGTAGAAAGCCAAGTGAACTATCACATGAAGAGTTGGAAGAAGAGCTTTTCAAATTGTTCTTAGATGCACGATTCTGTAAGAGGTACATAATTTAATTATCGGCTTAGCTTACTTCCAAGCTCACAATAGCTCTTTTAGTAAATTATATAGTTTGTTTACACGGTTTACAGAGACGTTATAGGGATGGCTGCAGATAGCTGGCTAGCAATAATGGACCGCTTCCTCAGCTTAGGAGATGAGAGTGCGAAGAAAAAACATAAAAGTAACAAGAATTTGCTAAAGTTGATAGATATATATTATGATGCTCTTGATGCACCAAAAAAGGGGGCTAAGGTCGATCTCCCACCCGGCCTACAGGTCGGCACCTTTCCACATTACATGGAACATAAGAAGAAGAAATTCACGTCCACTTCTATTCTTGGATTAATCTTTGACACTGTAGAATCCCAGAATGCAGAGATACCCCCACCCTCCAGTACGGATCTTCCTTTTACTATCGATAATAAGAGTACACAAGAACTCATCATCTCGAATATGTAATAACGTCTTTAACTGTATGTTACAATTCAGAAATCAGTAAACTCGCGTGTTTAGAAGATGAGCCGGTCCCTAAGTCTTACATGGAGAAATGTAGACCCTGGTACGAGGACTACAAAGCTGATATGAGCCAGGCGATGAAGGAAACTGATGAAAATAAGAAGAATCAGTTAACCAATGAAGTTATCCAGAGATATAAGCAGGTAAGCTTCTCAATCCAATGCAAAGATCTGACTAATGGACTTCATGAATCACAATTTTTTGTTTGATTAGTCCTGGGGAAGTCTGCAACCAACAAGAAATCCATCTAATGCTTTTATAAACACAACTCATTGGTTGAACGTTCTCTTCTCTGCGTATCAGGATTTCTATGGTGCTGCAGGGTTTGAAGACAGCAAGATAAGCCTGGAAGAACTCTATCCCAAATCCTTGGCACTTCACAACATTGCTTACGACTATGCCATCGAAAAGAACGACGTTCGTTGTTGTGGATTTGTCTGGAGGGTTGCAGGACCAGTCCTGTGCAAATTTTACGCTAAGAAAACGCAGGATAGATCATTAGTGGCTTCAGCCTCTGTGCTTAAAAGGCTTTTTGGTTGAACACACCTATTTGTCCTGTTTGTTGTCTTCATGTCTCATGTCTCATAAGATGCGCGTTAGGCAAGTATCTGACCTAAGTAACCAAACTTATAGGTTAAGCTATGTCGTGTAGGTCCTCTGTTTTAGTTCTGATCTCAGATTTGTCCTCTAGTGTACAAATAACTTCCGTGCATATGTTTGCTTACGGAATAACTAAAAAAAGAACATGTTAAAATAAGAATAAGCTTATAATTAATTTTAATTAATTGTACGTGGCAACTTCAGAGCCCATGTGGTGTACAAATCTGTCTTCTTCAGTGTGACACCTCTCTGCATCCTCAAGCTTCCATTTGGATTTTCCACAGTCTTCTTCTTTCTATTACTATATTTTTCAAGAAAAGTAGGAAAAGTTTATTCCTCTGTGATCCTGAAAAAAACTACTTCATTGCGCTTTTGGTTTTGGGGTTGTTTTCATTGATCTTTTGAAGATGGAGAAAGTAACCAACTCAGACTTGAAATCCTCCGTCAATGGTGGCGTTGTTGATGTGTATGGAGAAGATTCAGCCACCATTGAGCACAACATAACTCCTTGGTCTCTCTCTGTTTCTAGGTAACAACATAACTTCTCCATGATCACAGATATAATAAGTGTCTAACTTTACAATCAAGTTGATAACTTTTGTTTCTTGTTTCAGTGGGTACTCGCTTCTTAGAGATCCTCGCTACAACAAAGGACTTGCTTTCACTGAGAAAGAAAGAGACACGCACTACTTGCGTGGTCTTCTCCCTCCAGTTGTTCTTGATCAAAAGCTACAGGTAGAAATGGTGATTTTGTTATTGTGTATGGTTCTATTATTAGAGTTTCAATCAAAACTTTTGTTAATCATTTTTCGGGATTTTGAATGATTTAGGAGAAAAGGCTGCTGAACAATATCCGACAATATCAATTTCCATTACAAAAGTACATGGCCTTGACAGAACTTCAGGTAAAAAATCTTGTCTGTTCAATCTGCGAAATTGTTGTTTTCAAGATTATCAGAAAAAGATGAATCTCTTATTGGTCATTAAACAGGAAAGAAACGAGAGGCTGTTTTACAAGTTGTTGATTGATAATGTTGAGGAGCTTCTTCCTATTGTTTATACTCCAACCGTTGGTGAAGCTTGCCAGAAATTTGGAAGTATTTTCAGGCGACCTCAGGGTTTATTCATCAGTTTAAAAGACAAGTATATATTGCTTGTAACTTTCATCTTATGATTTTCATTATTTTTTCCCCCACTTTTGGCTTTAGTCATATGTCATAACCTTTATATTCATACAGGGGAAAGATTCTAGATGTGTTAAAGAACTGGCCTGAAAGGAATATACAAGTTATCGTTGTCACCGATGGCGAAAGGATTTTGGGATTAGGAGATCTTGGATGTCAGGTATTCCTAGGATTTTGCTTCATTTCGATTTTGATGTGATCTCATTGTGGCTTTGGTTGTTTGTTGGCCTTTGCATTGAAGTTTACATTTAGTGTGTAATTTCTCCAAATGAAGCCATAAGCTCCTAGCATCTTAAACAAAATTCCTGTGATAATTTTATATCTGAGTACCTGACCAGAGGTTGTTTGACTTCAGGGGATGGGTATTCCGGTTGGTAAATTGGCGTTATATTCAGCACTTGGAGGCGTTCGTCCTTCAGCGGTATTGGTTTAGTTTTGCTAATGTCTAATGTTGTATACAATATTTCTAAGTCAGAAACTTGAGTCTAATTTTCTTTTGCAGTGTTTACCTGTCACCATTGATGTGGGAACAAACAATGAGAAACTGTTGAATGATGAGTTCTACATAGGACTCAGACAAAAGAGAGCAACGGGACAGGTTTTTTTCTTTTGTTCTTTCATCCTTTTCTGTTAAAGAATTTTAAGACATGATCATATGAGCTTCCATGAAGGAATACCTTTAAAACATCATTGCAGGAGTACAGCGAACTCTTGCATGAATTTATGAGTGCTGTGAAACAGAACTATGGCGAAAATATTCTTATACAGGTATGAAACAATGAACTCTTGCTTTTTGGTTTTATATAATATGAGGATTCCGTATATATTGTTGTGTTAACTGCTTATATGCTTTGTTATCTTGAATTTGACACAGTTTGAAGATTTTGCTAATCATAATGCCTTTGAGTTGCTTGCAAAATACCGTGACACTCATCTCGTCTTCAATGATGATATACAGGTAAGAGTTTTGACTATTTTTTTGTGTTTCTTGTTGTCTACATAGTTTGGAAATTTATTCTTTACCTTTCAATTTCAGGGGACAGCATCTGTTGTGTTAGCGGGATTAGTTTCCGCACAGAAGTTAACGAATAGTCCACTTGCAGAGCACACCTTCCTCTTTCTTGGTGCTGGTGAAGTAAGAATCAATTTTTTGAATCACAATCTGATCCTTCAAGTCCACATATACTCAATTTTTTCTTATGTCTTCTTGTTTGGTTGTTGCAGGCTGGAACTGGAATAGCAGAACTCATAGCTCTCTACATATCAAAACAGGTAAATGAGTGTTCTTAAGATTTCGCTAGTTCTTAGGTGTAGTCGCTTTAATTTATTCATCTTTCGTCTGCAGATGAATGCTTCAGTGGAGGAAAGCCGTAAGAAAATCTGGCTAGTCGATTCCAAGGTAGAAACAATAAAAGCTGTACATACGACATTTCATTGGAACAACAATTTTATTCAAGTTTTGGTTCTCTGATAGGGATTGATTGTTAACTCCCGTAAAGATTCACTTCAAGACTTCAAGAAACCATGGGCTCATGAACATGAACCAGTGAAAGACCTCTTAGGTGCTATAAAGGTTCGAAACTTCTTCCTATTAAGTGTCATAATCCTCTTATGTCTCAATCAGTGATGAGGTCAAGGGAAGTAGGGCTTTTATTGACATCTTAAGTTATATGTCTTGTCAGGCCATAAACCCAACTGTCCTAATTGGATCTGCTGGAATTGGACGGGCGTTTACAAAAGAAGTGATTGAAGCCATGTCCTCCATTAATGAGGTATCTGCTATTCCACATCAACTGATCATATTAAAACCTCATATTGGTTAAAGAAGAAGATAAACCAACAAATTGTTTCTTGCAGAGACCTCTGATAATGGCTCTCTCTAACCCGACAACACAATCAGAATGTACAGCTGAAGAAGCTTATACTTGGAGTAAGGTACGTCTCTCCACACCACACACCATGACACCATTATTCCAGTATCTCGTCACCTCAAATGGAGATTAAGTTTTCTGATATTTGAATGAAGGGTCGTGCCATTTTTGCTAGTGGAAGTCCTTTTGATCCAGTTGAGTATGAAGGAAATGTGTTTGTATCTACACAGGTAATTTATAGATAATCTCTCTTCTCTTCATCCTTTGCGGTTTACTGAACTTACTTAGTAAAAAGCTCTCTGCAATTCTTGAAATACAGGCAAACAATGCGTACATATTCCCGGGTTTCGGACTTGGTTTGGTGATCTCAGGAGCAATACGGGTACATGACGATATGCTCCTTGCTGCTGGTAAGTATTTAAGGGATGTAAACTAAGTAAAAATAAAAATCTCTCAGCTCTGTTGTTTTATTAACAATATGATGTGTATCTTTGTCATAGCTGAGGCATTAGCTGGACAAGTAAGCAAAGAGAACTATGATAAAGGCATGATATATCCTTCATTCTCTTCCATACGGAAAATATCAGCTCATATTGCAGCCAATGTAGCAGCTAAGGCATATGAACTAGGTCTGTCTCTCTCTCTCTATCTCACAGTCAGGCTTTATATTGCGGTTTTGAGTATTTCTGAGGTTATGGCGGAAATGTTGGTTTTTCAGGATTGGCGGGGCGGCTTCCACGGCCGAAAGATATTGTCAAGTGTGCAGAGAGTAGCATGTACAGCCCCACCTACCGTCTCTACCGTTGAAAGTTGAAACTCAAGAGTCTACTTTGTGTGCTTCATCTACCTTGTTCAGTTATTCGCAAGCTTGTCTGTAAAATTTCCTGTAATAAGTAGTCTTTCAAGTTCAGAGTTCAAACACATGCAAGATCTCATCTTAACTTTGTAACTCTGGAAGGTACGTGTATTACTCACTCATGTTTGTCAAACTATGACCTGACCCCAACATTTGTTGAAACAAATGCAGCTTAGTAGATAGTATAGATTCTCAATCTTCACACCCTGAAGTATCTTCACACCCTGAAGTCAGAAACGATGCAAGAAACACATCATTCCAAGATTCTCGACGAAAGAATAAATATATGGGAAATATATGAAAATTTCCGTAGGCTTAGGAAGCATGGTGACAAGAAACCGACGTTAACAATGATTAAGCTTCAACGATATAATCACCGGCCCCTTGATAAACCTCATGTGGATTATTTACTATCTTCTCTATGGGCGAATTATGCATCAGCTACTTGTGACCTTGCGCTTCTCCTGTTTCTGCTTCGTCCCCTTCTTACGTTCCTGCTGGTTCTTAAGATGGTTGAAAACGGGTCAGTGAATCTTGGGAAAGGAGCATTTTATTCACAATTAAAGTGATAGCAACAGTAACTAACATTCTGAAATAAAGTGACGGCTGCTGATTCCAAGTTCACATGATTACCCCAGGATTTGTTGGTATATAGTAGAGACAGAGCTTTGAGTTCAAAAACTTAACACAAGAGCATAATCTGATTTACCCTTTTGCACCTTCTTTGAGGGGAAGCCTTGAAAGAGCAAAATGCAGGGATTCTCTGGTCATGGACAGAGATGAATGTGTTCTGTTTTCATGTCCTCGCAAGCTTCAAGATGCTTAACCTGTTTCAGATATATACCATATCAGTCCGGCTTATACTTGCTTATCCTCTATTACGTGCTAGAGAAAGAAGCACATGATCCAGCTTCATCTCCAGGTTTTTCTTCTGCAGTTTGCAGAACCAAAATGGCAAGAGTATCCCACGCACAAAGTATTTGATTCTGCGGATCACGGATTAAGAAAGCAAAAGATCTGACAGTTATGTAAAACTCAATAAAGAGACATGCATGAGAAGAGACGTGTTGGCAAATGTTTTAGTTAAACTTTGTAAATGGCAAATGGACGTTAACTGACCAATGATGTGACATCAAATTGTGAACACAAATAAATCTTCAATCTAAAATTTTGATATTTCAGACAACTAGAAGACGAGGCAAGAAAGCGAAATTCAATTAGATTGAACATTTATAAGATACACAACCAACTAAAATAACGAACCAAAAATTACAGAAATCAAGGGTGATGAATTAAGAGGGTGAGCAATATATTTCATCTCAAACGGCTAAGTAAGACAAACAGAAAGAGATCAATAAATAAAAATTTACCAAAGGGAATAATGCCTTTCTTCACCAATAAACATTTTGAAGCCAAAAATTAAAACAAAAATTAAAACAAGATCCAATCTTCCCCTTCTTGAAAAAGAATCACCAACGTCGCAAAGAATCATCAGTTCACCCGCGAATTCCCGGGAAAAAAATGACTTTTGAGCTTGCTTCTACTGTATAAATACCAGACTTTTTAAACATCAAATTTTTTCGGTTGTCGCCAGTGAGCTAAATTTCTTCCCAATGAGCTTAAGAATGAAGCTTTCTGAGGAGCTCCTTTTTTACCATACAAATGTTTGCCTCCTAAATCGGTCTTTGCTGGTCCCATATCCTTTCGTCTCTCAATCTGATATCAAGTTACAGATGCACTTGTTTACTTGAACAGAACATATTCAGGACAAGTGACGGGAGACAAAAAAAAACTATTTAAGAGACAAATGATTTACCTTGAATATCTTTCCATCTTTCAAATGGTATCGGATTCCAGACCAGTTTATGGATTGAGAAAAGTGAGAACGGAAAGCTGAGATCGGGTATAGGAAGTTGTCTACAAGCATTGCTACAAAAATCTGTGATCAAAAAGAAAAAGAAAATGTAACTTCATTACCACAACTTTCACTAGTTATAATCTAATTAATAAAAGGGGCTGAAAGTACGTACAAGTCCCCAGTTGTATGTTGCAAGAGAGAGACGAGGAGCCTCAGGGGATAGCATATTGCATAGTTGAACTTCTCGCCTTGTCAAATTCCACATTGAAAGAAGTTCAATGAAAGTGCAGACCGCCAACATTATAACAAGCAACATACCTGCAAAAACCTCACCTTTCCAAGTCAGTATGCAGCATAAGAAAAAACAGACAATCCTACAGTTCAAGTTGAAGACGACATATCACTATGCTTCCACATATATTATAACAGTTCAAGATTCCCCAACGTACTAGCAATCATCGTGTCAATAGGACAAAATTTCTTTTCTCTTGAACACATATCCCACCTAAATAAGAGGAAACGTATGCTCACCACCAGATGCAAAGGTCGTGTCTTCATGTTGATAGCCCTTGATGTAGATTCTTAAAGCTGATGTGACGTGAACAACAGCCATAACATATGGTGCAACAAAACCCCATGAAAGATAGCAGTGGACAGCAAACAAAGCCTTGTTCATTATCCAGTTAACTTTGGATATGTAAGATTCCAGCACAAAGGTTTGCTTTCTCAAGTAGTTCCAGTACCTATGATTAAAAAGAAACAAAATGATTAAACATCCAAATATTTTGTACCTCTGGTACAAACAAGGGTACAAACAAGTAAATAAGCAAATGTACCTTCCAAAACTTAGATCACTTGCAAGAGGATGAGGAAAAACAGCAACAGGAGGAGATGTAATGAGCCTCTTGTGAGCACCTGTGGTGAAAAGAAGAAACTGTCAACTACACATACAATAGGCATATATCGTGCAGCAAAATGGAGGAAACTTAGAAGCAAACGTTACCTGCTAGAGAGGCAAGTGTCATATCATCTGAATATCCACCATCGCGTAAGCCAGAGACAACACCGTATCGATCTTGTCTGAAATCATCGGCATGCATCTACAAATAGTTGCAAACAATCACCAAAATTAGATGTGGCAGAGATTATTAAAGAAATATTATGTATCATGTTATCTACTTACCATCATACACCCTCCCCATAAAAAGAATGTTCTCCCGCCAGTTGCAAATCCCATTGAGCAAGGCTGTAAAGAGAGCATGCCAAATGTTAGCTCAAATTACAAACTTGAAGAATCTAAACACTTGATAAGGAAGCCAGTGATTCTATGTTCTATACCATGTGGTACTCATAGATGCAATAACTCCCAAGAGTTCCAGAAGGCAAGTCCAAAGGATACCCTGTTTGAATAAATATCTGCAAGAGATCACTATAACTGTTAAACAAATTCGAACAGAAGAAAATATAAGGGCCTATTATCAATTAGCCATGTCTTCGATACATGTAAAACAGAAACAGACAAATTAAGCCAATTGATTCATGAATTATCTAGTTAGGGTACCACCTCTGGATTTTTCTCCATCTCAGTTGTGAGAGCTCCAATTGTTCCAGGATGCAGTCTAACATCGTCATCCAAAAATAACACATATTTGGTGTCTTGGTGCATTTTCTCAACTCCAATCTTCAAGAAATACAAATAAATTCAGCTAAAGCAAATGAATAAACAAAAAAACGAAAAACATATGTTGGAAGATAGTTTAGCTTCTCATGGTTGTGATTTCAGTTGGCTAATTATAGTTGAGCTAAGAACAGTCAGAAAGAAGAAATGAATCTATTGAGAGAGGAAAAATGTTCGTGCAACTAATGAAAGCCAATCACCAAACAAGTAAATCTACATCAAAGATCATACATACCAACTGATTATGAATTTTTTGGCTGCAAGTAGTCGATAAACCAGCAACCACAACCTTAGCTTCAACATCATCCTGTGCACATTGATGATCGACGAAGAAAGAAAGGAGTCAGTAGATACTTCAAGACTAAGAAGGCCAAACGAACTATAAATTGAACTTTTGTGGCGAGTTCTTTCAGCAGTAGAAAAAATTAAACAACCACAAATATATGCTGAGACGTGACTGCTGTACCTGATACATAGATAATAGACGGGAAACAGCGTGATATGCAGGGTCTTCCGTACTTTCTACAACAAAAAGGAATTCCAATGGCCCACCATAGAGAGAAGTGATCTACACATATACATGGATCGAACTATAAAATTAAGTTGGGAGCAACACACTTCATGGCAAAAAGCTAGCCATGATGAAAAGTAAAAAAAAAAAACATCTGCCAAGAAAAGAAGACAATGATACTGCAACATGAGAGGCTGACCTGACTTCTCCAGTTGTGTAAATTGTGTTCTCCAAAACCTTTAAGAGGCATGACAACGGATACTCTGGGAAGTTTAACCTGCCTAGAGTGCTCAAGTTCATTGACATCTTGATAAAGAAACGCCAAGCTATTTCCCGCTTTTATGCTGTTTTTAATTCTCTTAACCTCTCGGTTCCTAACAAATAAGACATAGAACACACACATTTCAGAAAACAAAACTCAAGAATGTAAAATCAAAATCACGCACTTTTAAGGTAAATGACACTACCTGACATATTCAGCCAAAAACCAACCAAGAGCAAGGAGTAAGCATATTGTACACCCCTGAGGAAAAAAACGTAACATTAAGTAATAACAACGAAACGCAAGAATTTCTTATCCTGATGATAAAAATCCCCAATCAAACACGTAAAGGAGAAGACATTTAGCCAAAAACTGATACTAGTATCTATATGATACGAAAGAATCATGACTGATTCATCAAACAAAGGCTGAGTTTCTTCATGTCTACGCTTCATCATGGTACTGACTTAAAAACCATTACTTTTCAAAACTCTAGATAACAAAAAGTAGCTTAACCCCAAAGATGATAAGTCCCCAAAAAAAAATCCACAACTTTTCCTTCCAACATTCAAAGATAGACTAAAAGACCAAACTTTCGATCTGAACCAACAAAAAAAAATCAAAAGTTCACCTGAAGATTAAAAAAAACAAGCCAATTGGGTTTTTTTCAGAATCCGAAAGGTGTGATTCAAACGAGCAAAGCAAAATTCAAAATTCTGAAAGAGAAAAGGAGCAACCTTTCGATCCGAACCAACACAAAGGAAAAGAAAAAAGCTCACCTGGATCTGAACGAAGACAGCGAAAGGGCTTGTAAAAGCTCTGCTAAGAGAGAAGAGAATCGCATCAATGGAGTCCAATGTAGACATCTTTTTCGTCACACTCTCTCTCTCTCTCTTTATCTTTTGTCTTTCTAATTCTTGTATATTCAATCAACGTCGTCTTCTTCCTCGCGACAATAAAGGGATTATGAGAAGAAGAAACAAAAAGAATGAGAAACCCTAGATTTGAAATTCGTCTCCTTGTCTCTCTCTGTCACACATCGAAACCAATTAGATTCGTGCAAAAACAAAAATTGTCTCAGATCACCATTGACGGACCAGCGAAAATCCAGAGAGAAAAAAGAAAAGAAAAGAAAATAAAAAACGAAAACTTTTAAATATATATTATTTCAAAAGGGAATCACACAAATCCACCATTCAATCATCTACACATCTCCTCTTTTTTTTAATTCAAAAATTCGAAAATTTACTATTTTTTATTTTGAGGAATATTTTAAGCAGCACCTTCTATTATATTTGTTGTTGTCATCAACTTTTTAAAAAAGAAAAGAAATGATTCGCAATAATTTAAGGAAATATATATTCTGTTAAAAGAAATATATATGATTTGTAATTCTGTCAAAAAATTAAAGTTTTTACGCGTTATGTATTTGTGCATTTAAAATCTTTTTTATTTGTGTATTTCATTTATTTTGTGTAGAGAGAGAGCCATGAACTAGAAATTTATAACTATAAAAGGAAAATATATTTTTCAGAGATTTTAAAGAATATCCTGATGAGAAAAGCGTTATGAAAATAGTAAAATACGCTGTCAAACAAAAAAAAAAACGTTATAAAATATTTTTGGTTCATTGTGAAAAGATTTTATCAAACTCTAGCTAGTGATCATGCATGCATAGAGAGGCTTTACAGGTTTTAAGTTTTGGATATATTGGTTATGTTTTTGGAAAGTTTCTTGAATAATTTTGGATTGGCTATGTTTTGTTTGCTGCTGCCGAATATATGATTTATGTTTTTAGGAATGGCGAATGATAATTTGGAGATGATGGGCTCGAATGTATATAGTTACATGTTACTATGTTAGCCGATGAAACATACTAGAGAGTTTTGCTTTGACGAAGATATGATGTTACGTACATGTGCTTCGGACTAACTTTTATATTAGTCATAGGCACATACGTATCAAAGATATGATGTTAAACATAGTATATTAGTCATAGGTTCATACGTATCAAAGATATACATGTCACAACCTTTGTAACATAGGTCCTTTATTGTGTACTTCTTCATTACATTCCTTTTGTCAACTTTTGCTCCAAGTCCGATTCAATTTTCTTAATTTTGCAAAACTACTTTGCAAGATTTAAATAAAAAAAAACTTTCTCGTCAAGGATTATATTATTCTTAGTCCAGATGAAAATATATATATTGTGTCCTCTATATAATTAAAGTTGGGTTTATGTTTGGCGGCAAAGATGCCGAAGTGTGATGCCCCGAATCTGAAGATGTCTTTGTCGAACAGAGTATCACTAGTGGTGACAGCTTAGATACATGTGTGCTCTTTTCTTTTTTCATCTTTAAAATTGACAACCCAATATCTTATTTTTCGTAATTATTATTCAAACAAAACATATATATATATATATATATTGTTCTATAATTTATTACTCCTATGACTTAATCATTGATCTCCTTTTTGCCAATTGAAAGGTATATTCTATGCATCTTCTTCTTCTTCTTCTCTGATGATGTGACTTTAAAACTATTTATTATTTGTGTTCCCTCCCTCCCTTTGCTATGTTCTTCGAATCAAATTTCGAATGGTTGTTAACCATATTGGTAATGTATCGAGTGAGAGTTTTAGATTAATTAGTCTTTTAAATTCCTGAATTTTACACATACTTTTATACTGGTTGTTAACAAAGTTATGGTTTTGGTTCCAATTAAATTTGTTCTTCTTTCTTTTAACTTATATTCTGAACATCGTACAGAGATAAGTCTTGGATCACGGTCAAACAAATCACTCGGACCAATCTACAAAATATTGTTTGCTTATGTACGTAACTAGATTTGGTTCGTTGGTTGTTGTGTACAAGAAATAAACTACATATATAAATATCGCAAGAGTTTTGACTTCAATAGATTAACAAACACATTTCCTCATGTTAATAAAAATAAAACATATGAGACCCCAAATACCAAATTGCCAATGTTTTTACTTTTTTACATATAATTCTCCTGGACCATAATTGCTACTTGTGTTGTGCTATCCTTAGCCAAAGGATATAGTGGTACCCAATTTCATGTTTTGGCTCCATATCCTTTTTTAAACTAATTTGCTTGCAGCAACATGGTTATATTCTAAATATAGTTTAAGTTAACGCTTAAATTAACTTAACCTTTTAATTACTTCTTTGTTTGTATCCCTTAACTACTGCATCATTAGAACTTCGAGCATGGATAGATCATAGATCAGGTCGTAATAGCAAAACAATGGATTTTCCGTAAAAATAACCATACAATGAGAGCATAAAGTTATACAAAGTAAAGAGAAAATCCCAAGTTTGGTGCAAAAATGGAATTTGATAAGCAGACTTCAACCACTTGCTTTGTTGCCTATCAAGTGGTGAAGAAACAAACCAGCTGCAACACTCACGTTCAAGCTCTCCACAGCAAGAAATGATCTGAAACCTTCACCTTCCATATCATCAGACTCTGTAACAGCAACATCGTTAGGCATATTACCACTAATCCTGACTAAGTCAGTACAAGATCTCTCTACTAATGGCCTTAAACCCGTTCCTTCATTTCCCAAGACAAGTATCGTCGGACTTCCGGGTAAAACCTCGTTCAAAGCAACAGCCTTTGGAGATACTGAACCACCAACCACACGCCACCCGTTCTCAGCAGAAGCTTCTAAAAACTGCATCATGTTTTTGCAGTACCTGAGTTCCATAACTTCGAGTGATCCAGCACTTGCTTTACTCACAACCGCACTTAATGGAGCTGAATTTTTCGCGCATACCACAACACCCGTGGCTCCAAAAAAGTACGCAGATCTTATGATCGCTCCTAAGTTCTGCGGATCAGTAACCTCATCAAGAGCTACCCAAAGAGAATATTTCTCTTCCTCTGATGAAATCGGATCTAGTTCTTTCACTTTCACCAATTCCAAAGGTGAAGCATCAAGCACCAATCCTTGATGCGGTCTGTTATCAGAGACCATGTTAAGATCATGCTTTGAAGTTTCCTTGATGTTTAACCCAAGTTTTTCAGAGATTTTCAAGACTTTCTCGAATCCTTTCTTGTCTTTCTTCTTCTTGTTGTTACTGCTCAAATCTAAACCTTCTTGAACATAGAGAGCATAGAACTCTCGTCTCCCAACAGAGAGCGCAGCCAACACAGGACTTACTCCATAAACCACTTCACCCTCTAGCCTAGGCACGCTGGACTCAGTCGCCTCTTGCCATGTTTTCCTACCCCAGCTCTCTTGCCTATTCCAGTTTCGATATGCTACATTGTCACGACCTTGCTCTCTTACATCATATCTATTGAACCTATTTTTAATCTCAGACCACCTAGTGTTATCTGGTTCTTCTTCAACGATTTCATCACCATCTCCACCGGGTTGATTCCTTGTTTCTTCTTCTTCTTCTTCAGTGATTCTATCATCACCTCGGGCACTAAAAGAGGTCTGATTTCTTGTTCCATCATCCCAAGATGACCGGTTGTTAACTCTCGGCAATTGCTCTTTCGCCGGTTTATCATTATTATTCGCCACCCAAATTGAATTCCCACTACCTTTCTTGCTCTCTTCTCCCACTTCACTGATTCTATCATCTCCTCTAGAACGAAAAGAATCCCGAGTTCTCGTTTCACCATAACCTCTGACTCTACTTCTCCTATCAGAATTAGAATCATTTCTACCATCTCGTTTCTCCCAAGAAGGCCTATTACCTCTCTGAAACCTATCTTCCACTGGTTTCTCATCAGATTTCACCCAAATCGAATCTCCACTAGAGTGGCCATTACCTCCACTTCTCTTCTCTCGGAAAGCTTTCGATTCAAATCTAGACTTCCCTCTATTGCTACTAATACGACTACTTCGTTTTGGTCCAAATCTCTGAGAATCAAAACTCGAAAACTCTCGGACACATTCAATCTTACTCAACATTCTAAGGCGAGAACTAACTAAACCAGTCGAAACATTTGCAAAGGAGCATCCTTTAGGGTTTACAAGAAACTTAACTGGTAAAGACGAATACTTTGAGACATGGAAACAGCTTTTGACTGCCGTTTGTTGTAATGAAACTCTAATCGCCATTGGAAAACCTTGGCTTCTTGTTAAATTACAGTACATGATCTAGTAGTAAGCATAAGAGCAAAAGAAAAATCCAAAAGTGAATTTTTCAAAAGAAGGGCTACTAGAAAACGGTAGTTGAGACTTCTCCCATTGATAGACCAATCTGACTAATAGAGGGTTTTAGGGTTTTAAGGAAAAGACCATAGGAGAGATATGGAGAAGATAAGAAAAAATGATTGCAAACTGCAAAGGCGACCTTGTGAGAAAATTAAAAAATACAGATTTTTTAAAAATTGATTGCAAAGACCCTCAAATAAACCGAAATTACATTAAAGGGCCACTAAAACACATATTTTCGGCCTGTTAACAACTATGGGCTAATGAAGAGATATGGGCTTCAGTTCGTTTAAGCCCAAAAAAATAAAACTTAGACCGACGTATTTGTAAATCACAACGGACAGAATAGCTCCTCTTCTTCTATATTACGCTTTTGTTGCTCTTTCTCATTATAATCCCCAATCACAAAATCTCAAATCACAACGGTCACTAGAGAGCGTTCTTTGAGTTTCTCCGAAGAACCATCATCGTCAGGTATTGAATCGTTTAGGGTTTTTATAGATTCTTTTGTTTACTGCATATTCAAAGCTTTCTTTTGATTGCGTGATTTTGAGTTTTCTTCGATTTCGAAATCTCTCTTTCCTAGATTTACAAACTTCGATTTGACTTCAAAAACTCTGTTTGATTTCAAGTTTCGTATTCTGTAATCTCTTTAGGGTTTCAATTTTGTTTGAGTTTCAGACTTTTTGTTTTTATTAATTTCCCGAAACCAAAAACCCTCTTTTATAGTTGTGTTCTTCAAGATTTAACCTTTATTTGTTACGAATTAGGGTAAAACCCCTCTTTTATCGTTGTGTTCTTCAAAGATTTTTCCTTTATTTGTTACGATTAAGGGTTTTACCCTCTTTGATCGTTGTGTTCTTGAAAGATTTACCCTTTATTTGTTACGAATTAGGTTTTTTAATCAAAACCCCTCTTTTAGATTCGTGATTTCTTTGTACTGAAGGTTTTTTTTACAGGCAAGCGGGTAGCTGCTGGCGAGGTTCAAGATTCTCAGTAAGACAAGCAAGATGTGATTAACACTGTAAGTCTTGTTAAACTGTGTTCTTAAGATTGTGATTATCTTTCATATATTGAGACAAGCAAGATGTGATTGACACTGTAAGACTTGTCACACTATGTTCAAAAGATTGTCATAATCTTCAATATATTTGCTGGCTGGGCATAAACTTCAAACCCATAAGAAAGGGACGACACATTATATGATTGTGTTCTGTCCCGTTTCTAATTTGGGAATATTGTACCTCAGTAAGACAAGCAAGATGTGATTAACTCTGTAAGACTTGTCAAACTGTGGTCAGTGATTGCAATAATCTTCTATATATTTAGACAAGCAAGATGTGATTAACACTGTAAGACTTGTCAACTTATATTAAAAGATTATTCTTAAGTAAGACAAGCATGATGTGATTGGCACCGTAAGACTTGTCAAACTGTGTTCAAAACACTGCAATTATCTTCTACATATTTAGGCAAGCAAGATGTGATTAACACTGTAAGACTTGTCAGCTTATGTTCAGAGATTGCGATTATCTTTTACATGTTGCTGGCTGGGCAGCGTTACATAAACTTCAAGTTTCTGCAAAGATCTGCCTTCATATATTAAGGCTTTTCTAATGATGATAATAAGGCAAGCAAGATGTCATTGACTCTGTAAGACTTGTCGTATTATCTTCTACATATTGCTGGCTGGGCAGCATTACATAAACTTCAAGTTTCTGGAAAGATCTGCCTTCATTAAGGCTTTTCTAATGATGTCCTGTGAAGGATAAATTCATTGTTCTGCTTCAAAACTCAATGATCTGCTTAGTGGTCTAATGATGTCCGATTGGGAAATTCAGTTGTAAGGATGAGGACTGCAGATGAAACACTCAGAGATATACATGTCCCTAAGTAACGCTTGTCACATTATGTTCATAGATTGGATGATTGAATCTCTGCAATTATCTTCTATATATTGCTGGCTGGGCAGCATTAGATAAACTTCATGTTTCTGCAAAGATCGGTCTTCATATATGAAGGCTTTTCTAATGATGATAATAAGGCAAGCAAGAAGTGATCGACTCTGTAAGACTTGTCATATTATCTTCTACATATTGCTGGCTGGGCAGCATTACATAAACTTCAAGTTTCTGCAAAGATCTGCCTTCATTAAGGCTTTTCTATTGATGATAAGAAGGCAAGCAAGATGTGATTAACTCTGTAAGACTTGTCATATTGCTGGCTAGGCAGCATTACATATAAACTTCATGTTCTACAAAGATCTGCCTTTTCTAATGATGATAATAAGGCAAGCAAGATGTGATTAACTCTGTAAGACTTGTCATATTATCTTCTACATATTGCTGGCTGGGCAGCATTACACAAACTTCAAGTTTCTGCAAAGATCTGCCTTCATTAAGGCTTTTCTATTGATGATAAGAAGGCAAGCAAGATGTGATTGACTCTGTAAGACTTGTCATATTGCTGGCTGGGCAGCATTACATTTAAGCTTCAAGTTCTGCAAAAAACTGCCTTCATATATTAAGGCTTTTCTAATGATTATAATAAGGCAAGCAAGATTTCATTGACTCTGTAAGACTTGTCGTATTATCTTCTACATATTGCTGGCTGGGCAGCATACATAACCTTCATTAAGGCTTTTCTAATGTTGTTCTGTGAAGGAGAAATTCATTATTCTGCTTTAAAACTCAATGATCTGTTTAGTGATGGGGATAAACTGTCTTTTATAAGACTGGTCTAATGATGTCTGATTGGGAAACTCAGTTGTAAGGACGGAGGCAGCAGATGAAAACACTCAGAGATATATATGTCCCTAAGTAAAGCTTGTCACATTATGTTCATAAGTTGGGTAGTTGAATCTCTGCAATTATCTTCTATACATTGCTGGCTGGGCAGCATTACATAAACTTGATGTTTCTGCAAAGATCTGTCTTTATTAAGACTTTTCTAATGATAAATTCAGTTATCTGCTTTAAAACTCAATGATCTGCTTATTGATGGAGATAAATTGTCTTTTAGAAGACTTGGCTAATGAGAAATTCAGGTGTCCCTATGTTGCCTAACTAAGTAAAACAAACAAGGTGTGATTGAAACAGAGATATATACGTCCCTGAGTAAAGCTTGTCACATTATGTTCATACGTTGGATAGTTGAATCTCTGCAATTATCTTATATATATATTGCTGGCTGGGCAGCACAATATTAACTTCAACTCTCTGCAAAGATCTGTCTTTCTTAAGACTTTTCTAATGATAAATTCAGTTTCTGCTTTAAAACTCAATGATCTGCCTATTGATGGGGATAAATTGTCTTTTATAAGACTTTTCTAGTGATGTCCGATTGGGAAACTAAGTTGTATGGATGGGCAGCACATGAAACTCTCAGTAATCTGCAAATTGATGGAAGAAAAAGCAGTAAACTTCAGATTCTGCATGCCTTAACTAAGGTTAGTCTAAATCATGTCCCGAGAGTCATAACTTCAGAACTTTTAATCCTCTGTGCCTATCTTGAAGCTCTTCTTGTTAGCGAAGGCACATCCTTGTGCAACGCTTGATGGGTCGAGGTTCGGTGAAGGCACTAAAGAGAAAGAGAGGGAGATGAAAGAAATAACATATATAATCTGCAAATTGATGGAAGAAAAGGCAATATAAACTTCAGATTCTGCATGCCTTAATTAAGGTTAGTCCAAATCATGTCCCGAGAATCATAAACTCAGAACTTTAATCCTCTGTGCCTATCTTGAAGCTCTTCTTGTTAGTGAAGGCACATTATTGTGCAACGCTTGATGGGTCTAGGTTCGGTGAAGGCACTAAAGAGAAAGAGAGGGAGATGAGAGAAAGAACATATATAATCTGCAAATCGATGGAAGAAAAAGCAGTATAAACTTCAGATTTTGCATGCCTTTATTAAGGTTAGTCTAAATCATGTCCTGAGAATCATAAGTTCAGAACTTTTAATCCTCTTTGCCTATCTTGAAGCTCTTCTTGTTAGTGAAGGCACATTATTGTGCAACGCTTGATGAGTCGAGGTTCGGTGAAGGCACTAAAGAGAAAGAAAGGGAGATGAGAGAACAGACATATATAAACTGCAAATTGATGGAAGAAAAAGCAGTATAAACTTCAGATTCTGCATGCCTTTATTAAGGTTAGTCTAATCATGTTTAAACCTCTCTGCCTAGATCTTGAAGCTCTTCTTGTTAGCGAAGGCACATCATCGTGCAACGCTTGGTGGGTCGAGGTTCGGGCAAGGCACTAAAGAGAAAGAGAGAGAGAGTGATGAGAGAAAGAACATATATGATCGTCTGAATTTAGACAATCGTTTAAAATATTCAGATATTTGTATACTACAAGGATCTGACTTCTTATTGAAGAGGTATGTATTCCATCTACAACCAGCTCAATGTTAGAGTTTTGCATTGTTCTAATGGTAATTTTTTTTTGTTATGTACATCTCTTCAACATTAAAGAATGAATCAATCTGATTTGTCTCATTATGTTCTAACCACATCTTTTAGTGACTGATTCTTAATAGGGATATACAGAAAATCAAGTTTGCGGATTATATATTTTCCACTTTGATCAGGTGAATGTCCCTTCCCTCTTTTACTTATAATCTTCCCAAGCATTTTCCTTGATGGCGTTTATGGTTTTGTGAGTAACTCCGTTTTTTTGAGTCTTTTGTGCATATATAAATTTTAAAGCTTCAGAAGAGAACTCGAATGTGTACAAAGATTTGTCTCAGGTTCGACTTCTGCCACTCTCTCTATCTCCATTCTTTTTTTAAGATTATAGTGTTACTGGTTCTGTTTACATTGTTGCAGTAATAAGATTTTGGAGCATGTGTGATTCATTAGAGGAGAATTATGGGATTTTGGTGACTTCTAGTGCACAACAGAATTGGCTAAACTAGTAGGTATGTATTTGAATCAGATATTTACTTGTTAATAAGAAAAACAAAACTCTGCGCATGTTTTGCTTCTTGATTTTCAGTAAAATTAGATGTTTACTCTGTTAAAATTTTGTAGTTAGTCTATGGCTGGTGTCAGAGACCAAATGATTGTTGTTTGTAATGTTTTCTTAGATTTGATTAAAAAAAAAAGTCATTAAGACATGTGATTCCCAGATGGTTCATGAAGTTCTTATACTAGAGTGGTAGTCATGAGTCTTTACATCTTATGATTTATCAACATCATATATATGCTTCTATCTGGCTTGATATCAATTTCGTTATGCCTTATACATAAGTGTTTATATCAATTGTAGGACTTAAGATGATGCACACTTATGGGTAGTTAGTAGTTACCGCTTAGATTAAATGTCGTTGTGGCTTAATACACATTAGTGTTTATATTAATGTCTTTGGCACCATTTATCTGAAAATTTGTTTAACTTTTTTTCTCTGTGGATCTTTGACTTCATCTGCAGAAAAGATGCAGAAGCTACTATGAATTTGAGGAAGATGATGTATATATGGGAAATTTCACCTCTTTGCAAGCGAGTATGTATTTAAATCTTGTTAACTTTTATAAGTTTAATACATGCAAAGATTCGTTGTTTAACATATGATATGTTCTCAAATCAGGGCATTTTTGGTGGCAGTCATATGACCATGAATGATTTTGCAAGATTGAATCGAACAGATTTGTCTAAGGTACATGTTCTTTTTCTATGCTTTCAATATCATAGTGTTTTTGCTTGCGTCTTAATTCTTGTGTTAGGCAGTACTGTCTGATTCTTAATTCTAGGAAATTCAGCCAATTTTGACGAGGTAAAATTTGTTTCTCCTTAAAGAAATTGTATTCTGTATTGATATCTCATCGTATGGTTTCTTATTGGTTTTACTCATCAAGGGTTTGTATCAAACTTGCAGGCACCAGAGTTATCATCTCCCTAACTCCACATGACGCTAAGAGACTAGTGACTTTTGTCATCCATTTGCAAGACCTCTGCAACCAAAGGTATTGCCTATAAACAATTTCTTCTTAAGATTTTTTTCTAACCTTTACATAACTGTGATTCTTTTATCAGATAGGAGATTTTCAAAAGCAAAGGTTTGGTCTTTCTTCTCTTTATAAGACTAATAAAACATAAACACACATACACAAAATCATACACTAAACGCAAACATAAACGCACTTACACGAAACCCTTTCTCTTTATAAGACTAATAAAACATAAACGCACATACATGAAACCCTTCTCTTTATAAGACTAATAAAACATAAACGCACATACACGAAACCCTTTTCTTTAAAAGACTAATAAAACATAAACGCACATACACGAAAATCATACACTAAACGAAAACATAAACGCACATACACGAAAATCATACACTAAACAAAAACATAAACACATACATGAAGCCCTTCTTTATAAGACAAATAAAACATAAACGCACATACACGAAACCTTTTCTTTAAAAGACTAATAAAACATAAACGCACATACACGAAAATCATACACTAAACGAAAACATAAACGCACATACACGAAAATCATACACTAAACAAAAACATAAACACATACACGAAACCCTTCTCTTTATAAGACTAATAAAACATAAACGTACATACACAAAACCGTTCTTTTTATAAGACTAATAAAACATAAACGTACATACACGAAAATCATACACTAAACGAAAACATAAACGCACATACACGAAACCTTTCTCTTTATAAGACTAATAAAACATAAACGCACATACACGAAAATCATACACTAAACGAAAACATAAATGCACATACACGAAAATCATACACTAAACAAAAACATAAACGCACATGCGCAAAACCCTTCTCTTTATAAGATTAATAAAACATAAACGCACATACACGAAACCCTTCTCTTTATACGACTAATAAAACATACCCTTCTCTTTATAAGACTAATAAAACATAACGCATATACACGAAAGTCATACACTAAACGAAAACTTAAACGCACATACACGAAAATCATACACTAAACAAAAACACAAACGCACATACACGAAACCCTTCTCTTTATAAGACTAATAAAACGTAAACGCACATACACGAAACCCTTCTTTTTATAAGACTAATAAAACATAAACGCACATACACGAAAATCATACACTAAACGAAAACATAAACTCACATACACGAAGGCCATACACTAAACGAAACCATAAACGCATATACACGAAGGCCATACACTAACCGAAAAACATAAACGCATATACGCGAAGCTCATACACTAATCAAAAAACATAAACGCATATACACGATGCTCATACACTAACCGAAAACCTAAATGCATATACACGGAGGTCATACACTAACCGAAAACATAAACGCATATACACGGAGGTCATACACTAAATGAAAACATAATTATACACGAAAGTCAAAAACTAATGAAAACATAAACGCATATACACGAAAGCCATATACTAACCGAAAACATAAACGCATATACACGGAGGTCATACACTAAACGAAAACATAATCGCATATACATGAAAGTCAAAGACTAAACGAAAACATAAACGCACATACACGAAACCCTTCTCTTTATAAGACTAATAAAACATAAACGCACATACACGAAAATCATACACAACGAAAACATAAACGCACATACATGAAACCCTTCTCTTTATAAGACTAATAAAACATAAACTCACATACACTAAACGAAAACATAAATGCACATACATGAAGGTCAGACATTGAATGGAAACATAAACGCATATTCACGAAGGCCATACACTAAACGAAAACATAAACGCATATACGCGAAGACCATATACTAAATGAAAACATAAACGCTTATACGCGAAGCTCATACACTAACCGAAAACATAAACGCATATACACGGAGGTCAGACACTAAACGAAAACATAAACGCATATACACGAAATTCAAAGACTAAACGAAAACATAAATGCATATACATTATGGTAATATACCAAACGAAAACATAAACACATATCTACGAAGGTCAAAACATAAACGTATATACATAAAGGTCATACACTAAACAAAAAATTACAAAATATACAAGAAGGTCAGAGACTAAACAATCACATATTCACGAAGGTCCGCATAACGCATATACACCAAAGTGAACACAAACAAGACTACGAAATCCTAAATATAAACACACATACACATATAAAAACGCAAACAAGAATGTGAACACTAACAAATATTAGAGACACATTATATATATCTACATTGTTGTAGAACCACCGATCCCTTTAGATTACTTTTTTTTTTGGGAGACAAAAATGAACATTTGTATAAAGAACTCGAATATATATAGTTCTACAACAGTGGCTGGTGCTTGAAGAAGAATCCAGGTTTTATTGTTCCTGAAAGATGAGAAAATAAAATTTTACCTTCTTCTTTTTTTTATTTGTTTGAACCCTAATGGCAAAACAAAGAAGAAGGGTTCACACAAAAAGAAAATGCTTTTTAAGATTGACTTGTTTCAGAATCTTCTTCAGGTTCCAGATACTGAGAATGAGAAGCAGCGAGTAATGCTGCTCCAACACCTGAACCATCATTCGATAGTATCACTTCAACACTCTCTGCAACTTCATCTCCAAGCAACTCTTTCAACGAACTCTTCATTGCCTCGCTGAACTGAGTGTAGTGCTCGAATAGACCACCGTCCATGGCTATTACAGATTTCTGAGTTTCTCCATCTTTTGATGCGTCTCTTCCGATTTTCTTGAGAATTCCATAGATCCCTGCAGCAGATAAACGAGCTCCTCGGCTTGCGATGATGTTACAGAGGCTGATCACAACTTTTCTCATCTTCAGAGAAGACGTAGGGACCTGAGAGTTAATCGAATAAACTCTTTTGAGATTTCAGTTTATACGTTATAAGCGTGAAACCATTATGTAGAGAAGACTCTAACCTCTAATATGTCCTTCAACTTGTTTCCCACAACCTTCAAATCAGGAGAAGTGTCGCTGTGCATAGCAGACATGTTCGGGGTCCTGCACAATGTTGAAGTGATTATTAGAGTTCTGATTTGATGCAAGTAAACCATATCCAACAAGTTAATCAAACCTTATGATGAATGGTATTCTCAGCTTTGGTGGGACGACGTCGCCAAAGAAAGCAGCTTCTTCGGCCATCTTCAGAAGAACTCTACGCAAGATTTCTCCCAAATACATTCCGGAAATAATTTTCTCAAGAATCTGAAAATATTAACGCCAGATAGAATCTTTAGGGTCATGTCATGATGATTCTCTAAACTAACCTGAAAACCAGTACAAGTTCAAAGCTCATACCTGTTCACCAGGATTCAAACTCTCGAAATCTAGAGAGTGGTCGTATTCTGTCAATGGAAGATGCGATGACCTGAAGTTTCCCCACTCCATGTTGATAACCTACATGGCATTACATCTAAGATTCAAATACTTCAAAGCTCAATCGGAGTTGATATGCTTTTGCAAAATACAAACCATTTCTCCTGATTTGGGAAGCAAACCATGCCATTTGGGAATTGCATGTGCACGTTCAACATAGGCTGCATTTGTGCCGGTGCCCAAAATAACAGCAACAACAACATCCGGATTAGTGTATCTACCACCCGCAAGTGTTCCAATGGTATCATTAACCTGTACAGTTTACGAAGGGATAATAGGATCATAATCAAATGGATGACACAAATTGCTGGTAGCTGAAACAAAGATTGGACAGAAGAAAACTCACAAGCGCTGCAACACGCATGTCCAGCCCAACTCTTTCCATAGCTTTAACAAGTTCTCCAACAACATCTTGACCAACCTACACATTCGCCAAGAAACAAAGATACAGAGGCCAGAATTTCAGAAACAGCATAAACATATCAAAAACTCAGTTTTCATATCAATAAACAGGCCTGTAAATTTCTTAGTTCCAAGAAAACAGAAAAATTGCAGTCTCGAAGAAGCATAGAAGCTGATGTACTAAAATCGAAATAGATGAAGAGAAATCAAGCTCAACTGTATCTTCAATGGAAAAGCCCTTTGTCCAGTTGATGAGAGTGCCAGAGGACAAAGATGTCTGCTTAACCGGAAATGAGAAAGTGAAACCTAATTCCCTTTGTTTACCGGGAGGGAGATGAAAGTCCTCGCCTTCTGTAGCGACAAACTTTGCAAGAACTTCAGCGATAAAATCGAATAATTCCTGCCTCCATAATTACCAAAACATAATCAACACACAGATCATCCAAGACTATACATAACAATAAGGGAAAAGGTCTAGTCAGAAAACTGACGTCTGATTTGCCGGTCATCAGATGAGGAGGAATTGACTCTTCTTTAAACTCTCGTTTCACAACACGGTCTTGCTTCCCACCAAGAAGCACACGCATTACACGGAAATTTGTTCCGCCTAGATCCAATGCATAAAAGAAACCAGTTTCATCCCTGCCAAAATGATAGCAAGCATTATAACCAAATTACAGCTCAAGATCCACGACCCCAAAACAAACAATCCCACAGTGAAAGTACAAACATGATTAACACAAAAAGTTTCATAACATTCTCCTACAAAGACATAGGGGCTCCTAAAAAGAACAGGACAAAGAAACATCATAGCATAGAAAAGGTGCAATAAAAGAACTCTCAATCCATGAAAGTAATAAAAGCCAAGGCTTGGAACAGTAAGACATCAAAAGCTATCAACTGTGTTGAAATTGAAAAGAAACAAAAATGCAGATACTCTAAGGATAAGAATCTAAACTCTATACATTAAAACTAGATTATCTAGAATAAATCCAGGGAAATATAAATGCTCTCTGCTCCAATTCAATTGACTTAGACATGACAATTTTCACAAAAATACCCAATTTTCACAAAAATACCCAATTTTCAAGAGAGATTATGATTCAAAGTACACGGATCTAGAATCTGAGTGACAATTAAAACAAGTGAAATCAAAATCGAATTCCAAATTCATCACAAAGCATGAAACTTTCTCAGATTAAAACTCATAACATTATCCAAAAAAAAATACAAAAATTGAACAAACGTGGCAACGATGTTATCCAAATCCAACTTTATGAATATCTGAATTCAGATATAAAAAAATCCCATAAAAATCTCAACTTTATCCAAATTCAATTCTCAAAAAAAAATCTAAGGAACAGAGAAAAAGACTTTACCCAGAAGGAAGATTATCAACATAGCTAATAAGCATCTTAAGCTTGCTTCCACCTTCAGATGCAAGACCAGCGTGCATCTCAACAGTCATAGCATCAGCCACTTGTCTCAATTTCGCAATTGGCGTGGCACAGTCTTCTTCGAAAGCTTTCAAGATCTCAATCACGCGTGCCCATTTACCTGAGCTTTGCATTCGCCGCCGTACAATCAAAGCAGCCGCCGCACAGACCGCCACAGAGCACACAACCGTCGTTGCAACAGCCACTTTACCCATCTCTCTCTCTCTCTCTCTCACCGTAGTTTAATACAGAACTAACAAATACAGCAACAACAAAACTTGTCTGAATCAATATAAGATTAAAAAAAAAAAGCTGGAAAATTTAAAAACAACCCAGAGAATAGAGAATAGAGATGGATGGATCTATAGCTGAGGAGGTACAAATTTTGAAGAACACGTAAGCAGCTCTGTTGTCTGTAAACTAAGGAAAATTAATTTTTTTTAAAATTGTTTTTTAGGAATTGTTTTGGATTTTTCTCGCCGGAGATTTTTATTCAATTTAATAGTTTTTGTAAATGGTAATGGAATCGGTGTGAAGTTACGGAAGTAACCCTGTTGAAGGATTTGGTTTTGGTCTATTTCTTGCCGAATTTTGTGGAGGACGTTTAGTAACCGATGTGATATAATTCGAGAATTGATTTATGATATTAAATGTTTTTTTCTAATGCAATATTATTATTATTTATTTATAGTTGATGCAATATACATAATTTCATAATGGTTGTATATGAAAATATCTAATTTTAATTCGTATTTTGACATGTCCTTGCTTGACTTTACTTTTTTCTCACAAATTTAAAATAATAATAATACAGTTGACTTTATTTTTTATTTTAAAGCTAAAAGATGTAATTTATGGTCAACGTTATATATTAAGGAACTTATAAGTTGTAACTAATTTGAACACCGACCAAAATTATGCTAATTAGTAATTTCTGCTTTGTCTGATTTATCGTTTTTGAATTAAAAAAAAAATATTTTATATTATTTTTTGTTTAGTATTTTTAAAAAAAAAATAATATGTATGAAATTACTCGTGATTTGTAATTTCAACCGTGATTTCTCCTCTTATCTTTGTGCTCTCTGCGAATTTAATTTACTCGTAGAAAAGTAAGTATCACCATT